CCGAGGAATCTCGTCAGTGGCACATTATTAATATACGAGTGAAGATCAGCTATTCTGTGATTGTGGCGGAATGAAATTTGGGGGCAAGGACAGCGTTGGTCCTGGACACTTGATTAACTTTGTTTGTATGCAGCAACATTGCTAAACAGTGGAAGCATCACTGAACATTTATGGAATACATGGAACCTATTTGGAAGTTGTTGCAAGACTGTGATGTCATAGTAAGATATATAATAGTACACTGGTAATGTAAAAATTGAACATTGTTGTATATTTCTTGAGGTGAACGACTTGTGGTTTCTATCATGTTTAAAGAGACAAGCAAAATCTTCCTGCAAGCAAGTACAAAACCAGCAAGCCCAGAGGCGACTAGCCCAGAGATTCTCCTCACATGTGAACTACCTGCTTGCGGGGATGACATGAAGGTGTGTTCAAAAGGTGCTCTGCCACCTGTAGCCTGAAATGGTACAGTCCACACAAACATCTCAAGGCTTGTCCACTCCATTCTGTTGCATGCTTAGACCAAAATAAAAGCCGCTGTTTGATTGGAGGTCATACTATAATGCTTGCGGACATACTATAATGCCTAGTACAGTTTCCCGTTTTGAGTGAAGAGAACATGGGGTCCATTTTTAGCAGTTGCTTAGGGTTGCATTGATACCTTCAACCATTTCCAATCTGCATTCCACAAAGGAATGCTTTTAGACCAATCTCATGAGGCATCCGCTGGACTTTTGGAATCCAGACACCTGTTCTGCAGTGCCGCTCCAACTGTGGGGCTGACCAGCCAACCTGGCCTTGCAAGAGATGCCTCACTGGTTACACACCTGCACTCAGAGGGGTGATTAGCATCCCCATTTGCCAGTGCAAGGCCATAGCACATTCAAACCACCTGCACAGAAAGGAGTAACCAGAGGACCAGAAGCGAACACAAACAGCAGAAAAATGAAACAAAGCTTGGAGGGCCAGTTGGAGACACATTCATTGAAGAAACAGCACCTACTGATTCAACCTTTTTCCTAGTTCCAGGCTAAAATTGAGCTCTTTAAACATTACGGCATGGCCCTACCGCTGTTCAATATTTGTTGGGAAATTATTCAAAGGCAGAGTTGACCCACAGCGTGAAGCCACCCTTCAAGAATGACAACAAAAACCAAGAAATGTGACACTGGGGAATCCTCGTTTTAAAAACATAATTAACCAAGTGCAAAACAAAACCTCTCTCTCTCTCTCTCATGGGTCTACAAAAGATCTTCACGTGCAACGCACTCTTTACGGTTGGTGAAAGCTCTGCTGCAACAGCACCCCTGCTGGTTAGCTCTCAGTCAGATACAAACATCTGTCCAGTTAATACTTATAACCCAACCACAGGATTTGGTTTGCGGCCTTTTCACACGACATTGTTACAGCTCAAAACAACAGTGAAAGATTTTGACATATTCAAAAGGTTGCTGAAATGTACTTATTTATCATTTGGGGGGGGGGGGACAGAGTTTCCAGGAGTCTATCGCTCCATGCTGAATATATTGATAATGGAAAGTTCGGCAAAACCGTTCACATTTCTTCTGTGCTCCAGGATTTCAGGATGATAACTGCTTTAGAGTAACACTATTTGTTCCCACAGCAGGCACAATAACCTAGGTGGGCTTGGAACTGAGACAGCTGCACTGATCTACAACGCTAAAAAAGTTTTTCTTTAACTACACATCAGCACCTGAAGACTTTGTGCTTGAAAATCCGGAGCCAGAGCTTTGTATGCATCACATACAAAGATGGAGGAGCTCTTAAGGACTATCCCACTAGCTTCAATGAAGGCAGCAGATTTGTGTGGATGTAGAATCAAAGCCCAGAGGAATATTTTGGAGGTAGGAGAGCTTCATGCACACCTCAGAGCTCCCATGTCTAGAAGAGACAGCTGAATTGTGACCTGAGCCCTAAACACAGCCAGGGGATCTGTGTCTAACAACTGGCTTTTTACATTTTGTTAATATCATTAATGCAACAGTCGATTTGTTCTAATCGGCAAAGTACTTTCCATTTTGCCTGATTTCTGATATTAATGTTACGGAAGATCAGAACCATTTCCTTTTGTCTCTGTGTGTGTGACATTACATATAATGTAACTGTCTTTTAGAGGAACTGTGTCAAAATTACTCACCAATTATGCGAGCTGAAAGATTCATGCAGAAATCTCTGGGTACCTTATCCATTTTCTCTTACCTTTGCTGTCTCTCCTCCCCTCTGTCTCAGGGCTCCTGTGCAATTTGTGATATTCTGGATTACAACATCAGGAAGACGCAATTTGATTTGATCTCAAAAGCCAACCTACATTTCAATTAGTTAAGGTGATAAAGAAAAGAATGCTCCTCCGACCCTTGACTTCCCTTTTAGCATCCTATACATTCACGGACTGTTAACCACTGTTGTAACGAGTGAACCAAATTATTTTTCAGCATTGGCATTATACCATGCGCCGAAACCACAAATACTTTGTATAAGTCAGTCACCTCAATTAATATACACCAAAGTTCAATTTTCCCATTAAAAGTGTGTTATTGTATGTCTCATTATGACATTACAATATTGCAACACCTTCCAAACTTTTTATATATATTCCATAAATTCACATAAATATACCAGCGGCAAACAAAATACTCTGCACTCAATGAGGCCTCCACTGTTGAACAATGTTACTGCACACAAAGAAGCGAATCAAGCATCCAGGACCAACACTGTTCATTCCGTACAATTACAGAATAATTGACCTTCATTCGTAGATTAAAAATGTGCCCAAAAGATCACTGTTGAGATTCCTTGGTTCCCTTCTTGTTGCGGACAGCCTTCTTCAGAGCGCGTCGAAACCGGTAGCACAACTCCGTATCACTGGAACCGTGAATATTAATTCAGCTAATCTTCATGGTTCCAGTGACATGGAGCTGCGCTACTGATGTTGACACACTCTGAAGAAGGCAGTCCGCAGAGAGAAAGAAACCGAGGAATCTCGTCAGTGGCACATTATTAATATACGAGTGAAGATCAGCTATTCTGTGATTGTGGCGGAATGAAATTTGGGGGCAAGGACAGCGTTGGTCCTGGACACTTGATTAACTTTGTTTGTATGCAGCAACACTGCTAAACAGTGGAAGCATCATTCAATGCTGAGCATTTCGCTTTGCTGCTTGTGAATTTATGGAATATATGTATCAAATTTGGAAGTTGTTGCAAGACTGTGATGTCATAATGAGAAATACAATGATACAATTGTAATGGAAAAATTGAACGTCAGTGTATATTAATTGAGGTGAATAACTTATACACAGTATTCGTGGGCTTGGCGTATGGTTGAATGTCAACGCTGAAAAATAATTTGGTGCACTAGTTACAATAGTGATTAACAGTCCATTCATGTACAGGATGCTAAGAGGAAAGTCCGGGGTCAGAGGACCATTCTTTTCTTGATCACCCTAATTAATTGAAACATAGGTCACCTTTTGAGATCAAATCTAACTGCATTTTCCTGATTTTGTAATTCAGAATATCATAAATTCCACAGGAGCCCTGGGAAAGACGGGAGAAGAGACAGCGAGGGAAAAAATAACGGATAAAGTTCACACAGATTTCTGCATAAACCTTCCAGCAGGTATAATTGGTTAGTGACTTTGACACACCTCCTCCGAAAGACAGTTGCATTGCATGTAACGTCTCACACACACAGAAAGAAGGAAATGCTTCTGATTTCCCATAACATTTAACGCCAGAAATCAGGAAAAAATGGAAAGTACTTTGCCAATTTGCTGTGTTTTGTTAGAACAAATCAACCGTTGCATTATATACAGGTCTTCGTTTTGTGGTTTCGACTTTCTATACCATGCCCCTTCATTTTTATTGAACCATACGCCAGCATCCCCATCCAGAAATCCATTGAACCCCTCATGTTTATGGGCTTCCTTCTTCGCTGCAGTGGCAGTGTCCAACTGGCACTGGGAAGGGGGAAAAAGGAATGGTCACAGCCTGAATGGGCTCCCCTTCATTGATGTAAATGGGGAAGACCTTAAAGACAGGGAACTGTGTGCGCATGTGCACTGGAGCTCTCCTACCAATCCTCAGTCTCTGGGTGCCTGAACACCTGATCTGAAAGTCTGGGAGGCTGTTGTGGCTTAAAACATGCAGTGTGAGACCGTGTCCATGTCAAGTGGCTTAGCAAAGTTATGAAGAGGTTAAACGCTATAGTGAGACCGATTTCACACAAAAGCTGTGCCGCGGTCGTGCCTCCCTTTGCCCCGCTTCTATTGGTCAATTTCCCACTTGAAGCCATGCGGCCACATGATTTTCCCCACGGGTCAAAACGTGGCCGCGCAGCTTCAAGGGGGAAATTGACCAAAAGAAGCGGGGCAAAGGGAGGCGCGACCGCGGCGCAGCTCTTGTATGTTGTAAGGATAAGGTTATAAGACAGAATTACAGGGCAAGTAGGTGGGGAGTTGCAAAGCTCAACTGACTGTGTGAACCCAGTGTGCTGTGAGAAGTGCCTTGACTATGAATGCTTGACCTACACAGCGCGCACGCACGCACACACACCTCTCACCGATTAGTTGTTTTGTAGTGTCGGGAGCAGCTCTGCTCCTGCCCAAAAAAACCTCACTGCTTTTCCTCCAATAATGTGACTGCAAAAATGTAAATCAGGAAATTTCCTAAGGGAGAAAAGATGACCGTGAAGAGAAGACATGGCAATAGGGAAGCTAACATCTTACTGGCAATCTCTATTAATGCTATAAAAATATCCAGGCAGTGGAAAGAAAATAGACATAAAGAACTTCTGCATTTGGCACCTTTGCATCTAGATAGTCATCATTCTCAAGTATTCCTTTTAAAAATAATAATAATAATGTTAATGCACGTGTTTGACAACTCACATCAAAGGTCTGCTACATATTTACAAGGCACCAACCCTTTTTCTCTCTTGTTTTCTTTTAGAATGTGAAACTAAGAACCAGTGGGGGGAAAGCCTATCAAGACACCCATGTTTGAATGTATTTCAGTTCTGCGCCGATCCGCGGGAATTTGGCCTGGGTAAGATTGAAAAGAATCCAGATCCTTCGCACAATAGAGAAACTGTAAACATTTTATAGCTGCCTTTAGAATCGGCGTATTGTGCAAAAGTTATTATGTTGTAGAAGGAATTCATAATGGCAGACAATGTTTTAAAAAACTCTGTTAAGAAGGTGCTGTTTGTATAATGCGCACACACACACACAAAAAGATCCTCCAAAACCAAATGAAAAAGCAACGGGGAGACTTCATAATTGTGATTCAATGGGATGGTCCTGTGACAGAATGGACATATGGGGAGGAAGTTATGGATAAGGCTTCTTTTGGCCAAGGAGATGTGGCAACCAGAAGTCTTCAAACACACACACAAAACCATATGAGCAAAATGGAGAAGCACCACAGAAAAAATGTGAGCGGAGTCCCCCCCCCCACAATTTGCTTAATAGATTTTTGTTTCTGGCAAAATCCCTGCAGTAGAAGGCCATTGAAGTCCTCACACCGTTGTTCACTTCCATGGTTTCCCTGCTGATCAATAGTTCCATCCCATGAGATGGCTGACCCTGGCCTTTTCTGTCATTTTCCGTACCCTGCCTGACCTGGAGGTACCAAGGTTCAGGGGATCCTCGGTGTGCACAAAAGTGTCGTTGTCTGAATCGTCGTTATATAAAACAGTCCGCCTGCCTTCATTCCTGGTCTTGATTCGAGGAGGCCGGCCAAAGCGCCCGCCAAGCGTGCTCTCCCCAAAGCGTCCGCCAAAAAGGTTCTCAAACTCGTCGTCGGCAAGACGTGGCCTCTTGGCTCTGGAGGCTCCTCGGGAGGCTCCTCTCCCTCGCCCCCTTCTCCCTCCCCGCCCACCACGCCTTCCTCGGCTACAGCCCCGCCCTCCCCTGCTGCCTCGCCTCCCTCTGCCCCACCGACCCCACCGGCCCCATCGCCCTCTCCTCCCCGTCCCTCTGCCTTGCCAATTCCTTTGCCCGCTGGAGATGCTCCGCCGAAGTTTCCTCCTCGGCTTCACTTGTACGGAGGATTTGCTGTAGTCATGGTCTCCGTCTATGTAGTCCTGATCTGTCCTACAGCTTGATTCAGAGTCTGAGTCGGAGCCGCTTTCGGAACTCGAGCTGGATCCTGAATCCCCACTTTCCGAGGAGGATAAACCTGGCTTCTCCTTTTGCTCTCTCTTGTCCTCCTTCCCGGTGGGCTCATCCTCTTCGGAGGCACTTGAGAGCTTCCTCTTGACGGCTGCCCGTGGTTCCTTCCCATCACCATTTGTGAGGGGCTTATCAGGAGGCTGATCTATAGAGATTAAATACATACATACATATATATATATATATACACATTATACATATATATTGATTTTTCAGAAGCACCGCAGCATGGTTAAGCCTCAGCTTTCAGGGGAAAAGAAACGTTTCTTCCTACTTGGAAGAGACCTGTTATTAGTACTAATAAGTTTCTCACATGTGAGCGGCTGTTGCCAGGACATTCTCTAAGACGACCATTCACAAAACCTGAATGCAAGCAACTGGGAGCTCAGAGAATTAACAGCAACTGAGGAATAAAGATCTATGTGCTTTGCCGGCTTTCCATGCAGCACCACATTTTTGCATTTTGTTTAAAACATTTAAGCCTTCTCTTACAATAAAGCTAAACTTCCAAATAAGCAATTGAAAATAATAATTGCAATAATCAAGAGTAGCCAGCAACTAGACAAACCTTAGTAAAGTTACCAATGCATCCAGCTGCAGTAAAGAATTCAAAAGGAACAACTACGGTTGCCAGCTCTCCCCCCCCCCAACCTCCAACGGGGGATGGGGGGGTTTGCCGGATCCGGGCTGGGAAGCTCCTGGAGATTTGGGGGTGGAGCCTGGGCAGCACAGGGACCTCAGCGGGCTACAATGGCACAGAGTCCACCCTCCAAAGCACCCCTTCTCTCCAGGAGAACTGTTCTCTGTAGTCTGGAGATGAGCTGTAATCCCAGGGGATCCCCAGGTCCCACCTGGAGGCTGGCATCCCTAGATAACACCTAGCATAAAAACAATTGAAACCAATTGAGAAACAAAGCAAAACAAAACCCGGCACGTGCTACTGTGTAATTCAACTGAACCAAAGGCCCGGGGGGAAAGCATGCGCTCCTTCCTCCCCAATATGCAGAAATCCCAACCGCCATAAACAAACAAATAACCTATTTCCGCCTGGTGCTTAAAGTTTCACCGAGCCTGGTGCCAGGTGAATTTGGGGGGGGGGGGGGGATAATGTCTTAATATCCACGTCACAATAAAAGGAGAAAAGCAGGCATATTTTTTTTAAACCCAGCTTCCTACCTTGTTTGACTGGAGTGGATTTATTTCTGACTGGCCTGCTTTTCCCTGGCTCAGCGTTATTTCCACCACGACTCTGATGGTTTGAACCAGATGAGGACGGCTGGCTTTCTATCTCTTCGGCAGCGGCTGAACCTGGCAGTTCCTCAGTAGTATCTGAAACTTTGAACAAAAATAAAACTCGGTCGCGATGGACACTCGCACAAAAAGGAGCGGGCTGAGGAACAGGCTGGCAAACAGGACCAGGGCTATTTTGGGGCAGGAACGCACAGGAACGGAGTTCCGGCTGGCTTCAGAGTTGGCCACGCCCAGCAGGAACTCATTAGCATAATAGGCCACACCAAACAGCAGAAACTCATTAGGATTGGCTACATTGGGGGTGTGTGGCCTAACATGCAAAGGAGTTCCTGCTACAAAAAAAGCCCTGGGTCTTGACAACAAACAAGGTAAACAGAATAAGAATCAAAAGGTGGGTGTGGCTGGATGACCACACTTCTGGTGACATGGGGGTGTGGCCTCATATGCTAATGAGCTGTGCTGTCAGGGTGTGGCCCAATATGCTAATAGGTTTTGCTGTTGGGTGTGGCCTATTATGCAAAAAGAGCCCTGAACAGGACTGATCACGAGAATGCAGGACTCAATTCTCTGAGGGGAGAGGATGTTTCTAAGGAAGGAGGAAAAAACCCATCTGACTTTACTTGACACCCAAGCCTGAGCCTGGGTCCTTCTAGCCCAGTATTACCTACTCCGACTGGCAGGGGCTCTTCAGGATCTCAAGCAGAAGTCCCACTACCCAAGAACTTTTAGTTTTAAGTGACGCTTTTCTACTGATCGGTCCCAAGAATATAGTTAGGAAGATGTAGGAGGAACAGACCCCTCACCTCCCGTGCCTCAGATCGGGACCATGTGGCTCAAGCGGGCATAGGGTTTACCTGTATTGAAGGCAAGGAAGCAGGAGCGGTTACGCTACATCTAGGCCTAGGTCAGTGTCTGGGTAAGGATGAGCCATCGCTTGCGAGGCTGAACTGGCATGTGGGTAATGGTGGGCCCTAGTGGGTGGAGTGCATTAGATGGGGGCAGACCACAGGTTCGTGATGGTCAAAAGAAGAGAGCACACACAACTCCCGCTGGGACTCATGGGCCAGCTTTGGTCAACTGGTGATATCGACCGAATTTGGGCAGCTTGAACGAAAACCTTTGCTGTTGGCCGTGGAAAGCCACAGCGTTTAGGATTTTACTTACCGTGAGATGAAACTGAAGAATTTGTCCTAGTTAAAGGCAGTGAGGTATTCAGGTTGGCTTTAGGCTGCATCTTCAGTTGTTTTTGTTTTCTTTTGGGGCTAAAGGTATGGGAAAATGAATGGATCATTCCTCATGAAGAATTGTCTAATTTACCCAAATCATCCGCTTAATCTAAGGAGCTTAATTTCAAGGATCCAAATTAATAAATTAAAACATTACAGTACTGAAGAGCTAGGAACTAGTTCAGACAGTGGGTGCCCCTTCTCTTGCCTCTGTTACCTCTGAAGGGTATGTTTGTTTGGGCTGCTGTCAGTAAAGCAGACTGTTTCCCCTGTCCTCTTCTCTCCTTTCTTAAAGCCCATTTCCATTTTCACCAGAGTACATAAAGTGCCACGGGAAAAACAATTGGTGAGGTAGGTGGCTAGTGGCTAAACTCATTAATATGTAGGCTAGGGGGAACTTGCAGGAAAGGAGGACAATATTGACCCCGATACACCCCAAAATTTCCCCCTCCATAGTTTCTCAGAGGCAACAGCGGGCTGATTTCCTCTCCACACTTTAACTGACTCTCAACCACTCTCAATATGCCATGCCTCCCAGAGCATGCTCAGTCCTCTCCAGTCCTTGGGGGATTTTTTCCCTTTTAATTTACACAGTCACAGTTTACTGCATACTTGGGGACTTTTCTTAGGAGGCAGAAACCCCTGCCTTGTCTAGGGGTGGCCCTGCTGTTATTTATTTAGACACAACAATTTATTTAGGCACAGCAATTACATGTGGGGAATCTGCCAGAAATTCCATGGGAGGAAAATCCCATCCACTCCCAGCACCCTCTCTTGCCACCAGCTCACCACCATCATCACTGCCTCGTCCACCCAGCTTTCAAGCATCTGAATGGTAGCAAACTGCATCCTGTCATGCGTGCACAGATACTGGTATTAATCTGGGGGAGGGATGACCTCTCATTTCATTTTTAACTTGAGGCTTGTAAAATCCTGCATAATGTCTATGGGCGGTTCCATTATGCAGAGATGGCTACATGCACAGGGGCCAGGTCCTCCACTGTGACGTATGATGAAACTGGTAGCGAGTGCCGGTGTCTTTACCTGGGTGGCCGGCTGCTAGAAGAACAGCTGCTGCTGCTTCGGAGTCGTTTTCGGTACTGTAGCCGCGGCCTTCTCCTGTTCTGATTATGCACTGCCGACTTGTACTCGGAAATGATGTTTTTAATGTGATTTTCAAATAAGGCCGATAATCGAAGCGTCATGCTGTAAATCTGGGAGGGTGGGGTGAGAAGGAAAGGCTCCCGATCCAAACATTTCTCTACATCCCTAGCAATCCATTTAGCAAACTGAGATAAATTTAGTGAACGACTAGGGATAGGAAGGAGGAACACCCATTCAACATTGAATCTGAGATGAAGAAGAGGACGTGGGGGAGGGGAAGCCGTGTTTCCTCTAAGCTGAGTTAGCGTGAGCCGGCTCACGGGGTTTTTAGCCTCCGGCTCACACATTTTTGTCTTTGCTCAGGAAGGAGGGCTCCAGAGCAGACTAATTTATGCAGTAGCCAAATTGCTTGCTCACAACTTTAAGGCCAGTAGCTCACGGAGTAGAATTTTTGCTCACAAGACTCCACAGCTTAAGAAGAAGAAGAAGAGGAGGAGAGTGGATTTATACCCCGCCCTTCATTATCCAAAGGTGTCTCAGAGTGGCTTACAAACTCCGTACCCTTCCCCTCCCCACAACAGACACCCTGTGAGGTAGGTGGGGCCGAGAGAGCTCTGACAGAAACTGCTCTTTTTCAAGGACAGCTCTTGTCAGAACTACGGCTTGCCCAAGGTCATCCAGCCAGGTTCAAGTGGAGAAGTGGGGAATCAAACCCGGTTCTCCCAGATCAGAGTCTGCGCACTTAACCACTACTCCAAACTGGCTCTTAGAGGGAACACTGGCCAAGGCAGTGGCTCAGATGAGGAAGAGGACAGCCCCCCCTGTGCACCCAAACAGACACAGCTCTCGAGGAGTTTGGGGGGGATGGGGGGGGGAGAATCGTATTCTTGTTAAAAATCCCGAGGATGGATCTCCAAACTGGGAGGTGTAAAAGGTTATGAAACAATGGCATGTTGCTCCAATATGTTCAATAAAAATCTTCAAATAAAATGTTCAATAAAAAACAGTTGCTCCAATATGTTCAATAAAAATCTTAGATGTGTCAGATGTCTTATCTGCTAAATGTGGAAAACTTACTTCTTCCTCAATTAATGGCAGACATACCTAATGGCAACCGCATACTGGACAGGTATTATAAGACATATTGACACAAGTACAGAGTTAGGTTCTAATCAAGTAAACCTCTGATGTGTTAACAAAATTTAAAAAAACAGAAGAGAATTACAGCATACCTGGCTACCATGGGGGTAAAAAGGACTCTGTGCATAATACTGGCAAGTGCAAGTCATTTTCAGTACATTACTACATTAACATTTGGGGGGGAAATGTAACTTGCATATCATATACACAGATCACTACATGTTTTGTCATGTGACCCTGAATATATTCACCAGAGTTGGAATTTTACTGTTCCAACAGGATTTAAAGTAACTGGTAGGCAGTGAATGCTGAAATCCCTCTTCTTTTGTTGGTAGGTAACTGATGAATTTGATCCTCTTTGCCTTGCCTTGTATCCTACCACTCTACTCCACAAACTTGGAAACCTTCTGTCCAGCCTAAGCAGCAGACCTCCAACACGAGTGGCTCTTCAATTGGAGAAAGAGCCGCTACTGTTGAAGGAAGACTGCTTAGGCTATAGAAAGGCTTCAGACTTTGCTGAGTGGCAGTGGTAACAGATAAGCCAATGGCGTTATCAGGCAACTGGTTTTCCTATTCCCAATATTCAACAACAACAACAAAAAGAGATGAAGCATATGATTAATTCTCTGGCCAACACTGGTGACACATAAAAGGCTTAACGTTGGCTGGACCGTGCCAATAAATATGTCAAAGAGTGGGGACAGAAGTTGCTTGATAACATCATTAGGGCCGGAAATTCCGCCTCCAACAAATATGTTTCAAGTATCTGAGACAAAATGAGAGAAGGTAGCAGTAGTTTATGTTACATGTGTGAATACACAAATGTATTTTTTCAAGCTTTATTAGAATAAAGGAATTTACTGAGAAACAAAGGGGTTTTGTATGACTTAACTTTTACTGAAATTAAGGAAAATCTCATACTCTTTATCATATCTACACTTAATTTCTTTCTTTGCCCGTATCATCTTGGGGGCTTCCAGTCATTGCTACACATTGCATCTTACCCGTGACTTCTTATTTGGAGTGTATGCTTTGGAATTGCAGAATATCAAGCGAACGTCTTTGTAGAATTCAAGGGGGTTCCTGTAATTTCCCGCTTCCAAAGTTTCTTTCACAGTGCTGAAGTCCATTGGAGTATCTACAATATCACGGTAATCCTAAGAACATCAATGAATGCATGTTTATTATGTAATGCCACAAACAGCCGTGCATTGGTTATGCAAACACTGTGTGCACCCTAAGTGAAACGTTTTCCACGAGTCCATTGTTTACAAAACCCCATTACATTAACCGTGGATCAATGTAACAATCCACAAACATCCACAGAGAAGGCAAGCTAAAAGGTAGGCTGTGGAGAAGGTCCCAAGTCAAAATAAGCAGCATCAGATCATCTTTCTCTGCACGTTCACACGGTGCAAGAAATTACCTTTTGACTGTGTATGCTGACCTTATGTTTTGGTGTCTGTGGAAGCTACTGTAGCTAGAGTGTTGGAGTTAAGACCACTCTCCCAATGAAGCCCAATGGCTGACTTTGTGCTTGACAAAAACTCCCAGCCTTACAAGATTCATGGTGAAGACAGGAGCTTCTTGAAATAAGAGTGTAATAACATTTAAGAAAGATATATGTTGGGTGCACCAGCAGTACCCTGCATCAGGGTTGGAGGCTAGCACCAATCGTGGAAATCACCATGCATCTGTTTGGTTTTCTACAAAATTCTGTATGCAAGGACTGCATCATATGGAAAACAAGCCACTTTTTGATAGTGCAAAACGGCCATTACATTTAAGTATTTTGTGGAAGCTCACGTTTTGGAGGTCATTGATTCATAAGGTCGCCATAAGTCGGAAGCATATTGATGGCATAACACACACACATGTCCCCGTGCATGGTTTGGCCATGTCGAAACCTTTTTTTTTTTAAAGTTGACAAAGATGATTTTAGTGTTCAAGCTGGCAAGCCTGAGTTGGCAGACAAAACTTTCCAATCACATTTCAGATCAGGTATCGGGCAGAGCTGGTGTATTCTGCAACTGCTTTATACAGGCACAGAATCTGGAAATGGGGGCAGAATTCAGAATGTGAGAATCTCTTCTCAAGAGTCAGAAGCTTTTAGAATGCAAAGACAAGACTGGAAATAGGTGCACAGTTTGTGAGGATCAGACCCGGACAAGTTTGTGGGGATAGGTGGGATGGGTGAGTGGAGAGGGTGTAGTTTCAACATATCAATATCAAGTGCTTAGCAGACAGACAGTTCTATGCGGGCCGCACGCACGGCTGGCCACCCAGGCTCAGAGTCCCTCGTTTCAGTTTCCTATGCAGTTTTCTGCCTCTCCCTGTTGAATTGAACAATAATAATTTTTAACAATCCCTTACAGGATAGGAAAAGAGATCAACAGGCTGTCGAAATGGCTCAGAATCTTCGCGTTCATAGATCAGGCTTAACAACTGCTTGCAGTGTTCCTTCCAGGCATCAGCACACGTTTTGTTGGGCTGTCTTTTTATCTGCCGTCTTACCTGAAGGTTTGGAAAGGGAGAAACATCACCATTCTACAATTTTTTGTATAAAAATCTTCTTCCATATACAAGCTTATGTAGTGGTCACAATGACCGGGACTTAACCCTCTTAGAAGCCAAAAATTGCACCTATTCACCATCTTGGTTTCAACATAACACCCTGTACTAAACAAGCAGTTCTGTGAAGGACACATCTGTCCTAGGACACATCTGTCCTAGCCTTATGTGAGAAGGAAGAACAAATCATAAGGGCAACCTTCAAAATACTACCCAAAGTTATGGGGGGGGGAGTTGCACATCTGGCTGGTTCATTCTCCCATGTTGGCCTGAAGCAGCAGAACAAATTTAGAGTCCAGTGGCACCTTTAAGGCCAGCCAAGGTTTATTCAAGGTAGGAGCTTTCGTGTGCAAGGCCCACTTTATCAAATACATTAGAATGGCAGAGAAGGTTCAAACTTATAGCCAGAGAATGAACAGCGAACTGACATGCAACATGATGATTATCAAGATATGCAAAGTGACACTAAATAACAAGTTAAGGTTCTTCTGACAAGGGTGGGGGATATTCTGCAACCTCTGCCAGCTGCTTAAGATCTGGGCTGAGCTTCTGTTTCCCTTCCCATGGCAGGTATTAAAGCCCAGGGGTGGCCAGAAGTGTAAGCCTTTGGTGCAGGCTGAAGGACAAGAACCAAAGAGCTCTCTTGGCTCTCAGCCAGTGGCCTTCAGTGAGCCAATCCCAGTGGACTCAGGACCGGACCAGGATACAGTTTAGTGCATTAATTGGTCCTTTATCTGTTTATTGAAACTGTATTTGACAGAAGTTATTTAAACTGGCATTGCTGGAAGCTGCTTTGAGGTTCCCCAGGAAGAAAAGCCTAAATAAATTAATTAAAATTATAATAGAAAAGGAACAGCGAGAAAGTGCAATGTAGCCTGCCCATCTCTGCCCTGGTCTGTGCATGGTGCTGTAGCCCTATTGCCAGTCCCACCCCAAGCAGGTCCCCGGGATAGACTCTCAGCATTAGGGGGAAGGTAACTAGGTGCTACTTAATTTTGACATCAGATTAAATGACAAAAAACAAATAACAAATACCGCAAGTTAGTTTTGTCATAAATATAGCACAGGACATCAGTAACAATTACGCCACAATGAAAGCAACCCCACGGCTCCATAAATGGCCATATCAAACTCGGGGGCTTTCAGGACCAAAATAATGCAGTTTGCAGCTTGATCTCTTGACTCTTATCTAAGAAGATGACATAGGTGATGATGAAGAGCCACTCACAGTTCTTTTCCCAGAGGAGGTTCCTGGACCATCTGAGTCTGCGTATACTTCTGCCACCTGAAGGAAAGCTTAATTACTACATGCAAAAAGAAGGGCTAAATCATGCAAGATGTTAGGAACAGGAACATGATGGATAGCAAAAAGCAATTTCCCGCAACAACAGCAACTGGTGCAACTTTATCATCATCATTAGCTTACGATCATTATGTTTTACTGTAAATCCGGTTCTTTTCTTTGTGGTACAGACATGGCCCTACCAAATGTGGGGAAAGTCTACAAAGTTAAACAAACCGTTTCTGTTTTGTTCTTAACTATACAGTGGTCAAGACTGAATATGGTTAGCCAGATTAGTCACTGGAGTCAGGATAAGGCAGACTTGTAAGAATCAATCCAGATCACTGACAGCACGATCCTAAACAGCCTTTCTAGGCCACTGAGCTAAGAGAGGTGCAGCTTTGCTTCGGACTGCACTGCAAGAGACCTTACTGTAACAAGAGATTCCTGTAATAGCCATTATGCTATATGCCCAGAGCCCAGAAGACTGTAATGTCTGACTGAAAATGGTGTGGAATCCTGGCTGCATTTATACTTAATCAAACCAATGCACATTCTTTACACGAGCTTTGCTCCAAAGACTTTGCCCCCCATCCCCACCAATAATAGCTCTCCTCCCTCTTTATATAGTCCTGTTACCTAAGGTTTCCTGGTTCACAAGACACTATCATTTGTTGTGACATCCAAATCAAGCAACTGACAAGCCCTCTTGCCTACATATTAGCATCCCACATGAGGATTAAACCATAACTTTGAATCCTGAGCTAGAGAACAAACCAACATTTGTTGTGTCATCTAATTCTGGTGTCACAGATCATGTAATATGTTTGAACAGTGGGGGACCAACAAGGACTTACAGGCGGAATCTCATTTCCCTGTCTTCTACTTTCCACTTTCCCTTTCCTGAAAACCCCCATATGCATCTCCCTTTTTCCTGCTTCCTTCTCCCCATCCGCCAGCCAACCCATCTTTATCAGCCCGTGTCTTCAGCTTTCCCTTCTTCCTGCCCCCTGGCAGCCTCTATCAGGGAAGCCGATGGCCCACATGCACAGTGCCTGCCGCGGGGCCCAACTGCACAGTGGGGAACTCACGAGGACTTACAGAAAGCACCTCGTTTACCCATGTATCCACCTTCCCACACAATGCTATTTTCCCTCCTCCTGGCAACTCCCATACCCTCACCTTTCCCTGCTTCCCTCTCTCCTTCCCGCTAAACAATCATCCTACCCTTTTATCTGTCCCTCATCTTCAGCTATATTATTTATTTTGCTTATACCCTGCCTTTCTCGACCCAAATCAGCTTATATTGTTTGCCTGTTCTCCATTTTATCCTCACAACAACCCTGGGAGGAAGTTTAGGCAAACACTCTGTGACTGGCTCAAAGTCACTCGGTCAGCACCATGGCAGGATGGAGATTTGAACCCAGGGCTCCCAGTTCCCAGTCTGAAAATCTAACCACTACAGCACACTGGCTTTTGTGGGGTGGCTACTGTTGAAAAGTAGCAAGCAGCTGGGCACAGGTACAGCATGCAAGTCAGGTGGTAGCAACTCACCTGGCGGTTGCTGCCAAACTTGGTCCTTATGAACCCTCCCTCAAAAGCAAAAATCAGCCCTGGAAAAGGCCATGCCCCCTTCTCCCTGCCTTTTACTAACAGAAACGACAGAATAATACGTTTATTAAATGACACAAACCTGGATATTGCAGCTCTGGTTGCTAAACTCTTGGCTGAAGCAGTCAAAGATAGACACAACCTCTCTGTATGATTAGCCTTATTTCGTTGTCTATGTAATACCTTCTTGCTCATATTTTATCACGCTATGTATTTTATTATGCTATTAAAGGTATTTTGATTGATTACTAACAAACTAAAGTCTCAATTGGGAATACTGTTGTGGTTGCCTAGCAACAGCCACAGAAGGAATTTGATTCTTTAAACTACAGGTGCTGATTCTATTATTTGGAGGAGTGGGTTAACACCCCCCCCCCCATGAGTGTGTGTGTGTTAAGAATTGATTTCTCTGCAAACCTGAGGCATTTCTCAGATCGGTAGAAAGATCTGTCTTGTCTTTTCATGGACCCAAATCTCCGGATTTAAGTATCCACAGATTTGGTCATGTTGAGCAGATATATTGATACCACAGCACAGCGTATAACCATTTTCTAGAACTCCTCTTCAGTCTGGATGCTCGGTACAGAGAACAAAAGGGGGAGCAGCAGAAGAAAAATTAATTTGTTCCCAACACTGTGGCCAAGACCAAAGCCTATAGTTCTCACATTACAATGGAAAACTGGATGTGCTGCAGACAACATTGGATTATCTTAGAAGGTGCTGGGTGCAAAACAGGTTTTTAAGTTGCACCGGATTGCTGGGATGAAAAAAGAGGGGGGAAGCGGCTTTGAAAGCCCCCTCTTGTGGATACGAAAGACGGCGGCTAATCAAAGTTCAGGAACTCCAAACCTTCACTATCTGGATCTGGATGCAAGGGGAGGAAAGGAGGGAGGGAGGCATGAAGCAAAGGACTCGAGAGCCATGCTTTCTAGGGGAAGGGTAACCTCAGCTCTTCAGCAAGCGACCTCAAACCTTCCAGTATGCTTATTGAGAACTACAGCCCACCCTGAGCTGAGCAATAGAAGCACAAAAACAACAACGTTATTTCCTCTAATTCAACTGATAACATTGAAAGAGAGTTTCTTAATGTGAGTGCTTTCCGCCCCCTTAATAATGGGGGGGGGGGATGATTACAGTGCACACCATCAATAACCGAGGCAAACACCTCTTGGGGTGCCAGCATCAAAGGCAACCATTGCTCTCTTGCATTAACGCTGGCCTATTCCACTAAGCTCCGCATTATGCATGATGTGGAGCTGGCTGATGCATCCCAGCCACCCGGCAATCAGTTCATTCATCTGGCAATCAGCTTTCATTCAGGGAGGAGAAAAGAGAAGGGACTAGCTGGGAGACAGGCAGAAAGGTAAATGGATACAAAGAGCCGTAAAAAAACCGCAGCTTTCTCGAAAGGCTTGTGCCGGTATCACACCACAAAGGAAACGGAAGCGAGCTGGGACCCATTGACACACCTTAAAAACAGTGCGTCGCTTTCTGAGGTGCGCACTGATGCCCTTTGTGCATCACAGCCAGCAACGGTCTAACGCATTAAGGTTCTACGCATTTCTGTAGAGTGCCTTTTCATAAAGCAACACGTAGAGGAGGTTTTTAAACCCTTGACATTAAGGCAAGAGATACTTGGCTTTCGTCTGCTAAGACTCCGGCAATCGAGAGAGCGTGTCTAGATATTGGTTCTGAGCCTGGATGCCTACTCCACATGGAAGCTAGTGTAGTGCAGAGGGTATAGTGCTGGAATATGGTCTGGGAGACCCTGGTTCGAATCCCCACTCTGCCATGGGAGCTTGCCAGGTGTCCTCGGCCAGTCATCCACACTTGACCTAACCTACTTCACAAGGTTGTTGTGATGATACAGTGGGGAAGAGGAGAGTAATGGAAGCCACTCTGGATACCCAAGAAGAAGATAAGAAGAAGATAAGAGATTGGATTTATACCCCGCCCTTCACTACCCAAAGGTGTCTCAGAGCGGCTTACAAACTCCGTTCCCTTCCCCTCCCCACCCTGTGAAGTCGGTGGGGCTGAGAGAGCTCTGACAGAAACAGCTCTTTTTCAAGAACAGCTCTTATCAGAGCTACGGCTTGCCCAAGGTCACCCGGCCAGGTGCAAGTGGAGGAGTGAGGAATCAAACCCAGTTCTCCCAGATTACAGTCCGCGCACTTAACCACTACACCAAACTGGCTCTCCCCAACTGGGGAAAAAGGCACGCTATAAATGAAGTAAATAAATGCATACAATTTGTTTTTTCCTGCAGAGATTGTAACCACATGCAAGCTGGCCTAGGGTAAAAATGGCAGATGTATTTGAGATGTATGCGTTTAAGTAGCACTTGAGAACCACAACACCAAACTGGCTCTCCCCAACTGGGGAGAAAGGCACGGTATACATGAAGTAAATGAATGCATACAATTTGGTTTTTCCTGCAGAGATTGTAACCACATGCAAGCTGGCCTAGGGTAAAAATGGCAGATGTGTTTGAGACGTATGCCTTTAAGTAGCACTTGAGTGTTATTTGACCTTGAGCGATTTGTGCTCTCCACGGTGTATTTTGTTTTTGTTATTGTACTCAGCATCTCCGTGGTCCCGTTGGATTTAGTTTTGGAAGAGCAAGGTACTGGTCCTCACAGCTTCTCCTCCAAACTGTTGGAACTAAAGACGCAGCAACTCGATGGCATTCTGCCCACCAGTGTTCTGCATAACTGCCTGATTGTACCCAACAGTTCAGTTCCAGTTCACTCTCTGGACTCTCACCTCCTCTTCCTCCTCTGTGCTGCTCAGATCTTCTGCCTTTACTTTGTTGTAGATCTCCAGGATATCTGTACAACTCTGATCCCTGAAAAACAAACATTACGTCAAATATATTAAGATCTCCAGCGGGTATGGCCCAAGCTAGCCCGACTCCATGAGATCTTGGAAGCTAAATGGGATTGGCCCTAGTTCGTGTTCGAAAGAGACACGACCAAGGAATTCCAGGGTTCCTATGACGAGGAAGGCGATGGCAAACCACCTCTTCTAGTCTCTTGCCTTGAAAACCCTACTCAGTCACCATAAGTCAGGTTGCAAGTCGACAGCACTTTACGCAATGCGCGCACACACCCAAAAGTGCCAGCATTAGGGCCAACAGACAACAAAGTGCCACAGAGATCACAAAAGTGACACCATCCTGGCTTGGATGGCTTACAAACGAAGCATTCCTATCTCACTGGTGTGCCGTGGCCTCTGCAGTTTAGGAGCAGGGTACTAAACTCCTTAGCATTTGATCAAAAAGCCAAGCCAGACGGTTAGATTGATGAGAAGGTTCCCATGCCAGCACCCCAGTCCCTGGATGCACATGATAACGTTCCAAATGATCTATTCTTGGTCTACCGGACAGGAAAGAGGTGAAAGACGCAGTGGGAGATGAAAGCACCATACACACGCCTATAAATTCACACGCATGGTACAACTGAGCCACTTCAGGAAAAGTTTTTTCAGAAAATTATCCCAGAGCAGTGAAAACGTCAGCACGTAAAGAAACAGGCTACTCACCCAATGTAGCGAAGTAAGACATCTGTAACAATTTTGGCTGCTTTAACTATAGGACTCTCGGGCTCATTGAAAGTCCTAGCATTATGTTCAATGTATCGTACCTCCCACATTAACGCCGATATTCGCCTGAGGAGGGAAAAGAACATATTCAGAAGTAGGCGCTACACGTATTCAGCCCTTAACTGGAATCTATGCATAGAAAACCAAGAAGGGCTATGGTCAGGAAGGGTGTGTACCTGGTGAACAGAACGGTGACATTTTAAAGCCATAAGAAGCTTCCGTGAAATCAAGACTGAAGAAAAGAGAAGGGATTCCCGAACTTGTTCTAGCACTAAGAAGCTGGCAGTTGATGGGATTATCATAAGGGAAGTTTTCAACATACAGATCAGAATGCACTACTTTTGGAAAACAATAACCTGATCTATTGAATGTGGCAGTCACAACAGATTAAGTATTTTGTTTACTTAACTATATAAAGAATCCTAGTAAAACTGCAGCGTACAGTATGAAGTGTGCTTGCTGCTGTTAGGGTATTAGAAATACTAAAAGAGACCATTCAAAACAGAATGGCTATGAAAGCTATCTTCTAGCTCAACTGACATCTTAGTAAAAAAATCAGCATAAATTTGCTTGGCTAAATGAAACATGAAGTTGTAAAAATAACTATGAGCTCCTATGAGTGTATGAAGCAGACTCAGACCTTTGCTCTATTGAGTATTGGTTATAATGACTGGCTAAGGCAAGAATTGTCTTAGGCCAGTCATAATAACCAATACACAATTTTTAAACTGCTATTGCTAAGATATTACAATATAATATAAGACCTCCTTGGTTAATCAGATGTTTTAGCGCCCTGCTCTTAAAAACTTTTGTACATGCCTCTTTTCCCGGTTTTTTGCAGTCAAAAGGGGGGAGGGGGAAGGATCATTTGGATCTCTTTGGAAAGACTGAAAGCTTCAAATCCTGGCTTGTTTCATCAGTTTAATAGGAGAGATTCTCAGATGCAGCCACAAGACTGTAACGATGTTTATTACAGTTGAACTGAACAGGATCCTGTGAACTTAGGCAGATCATGAGAGGGAGGGCAGGAAGGGTTGCATCAGTGCTTAGTTCTTGTGGCCCTTTCTTACACACCCAGGAAAATGCTGATTGCCACTTGGGGGTCAGGAAGCAATTTTTCTCTAGGCCGGTTTGGCCAAGGATCCTGGAGGTTTTTTAGGTTATCTTCTGGGCATGGAACAGCGGTCACTGCGGGTGTCGAGGGGGAGGTATTTGTGAATTTCCTGCATTGTGCAGGGGGTCGGACTAGATGACCCTGGAGGTCCCTTCCAACTCAGTGATTCTATGATTCTAGGAAACGTTTGCTAATATTACAGCTAGAAGGGATTTGATTCAGCTAACATGGAAAAGTTTCTAAAAAGGTGAGCTGGAGGCATTAAACATACAGTGGACAGAAATCATCAAATCAGTACAATTTCATTGTTTATTGAATGTATTATGCTCTCCACTTATATTGTTTAATATCATGTAATCCTCCTTGAGCCTCAGCAAGAGAAGTATATAAATACATAAAAATCTGACCTGTAAAATCTGTTTTCAAGTCTTCTCCTGATCGTGGTGAGGTCAGTTGGGTAAGCAACTACAGTGCAATACAGAGGATAGGCACTAAGGTCCACCGGGACAGCAAAGGGATTAGAAATATCTAAAACAGAAGACAACCAAAGTCAATTAAACATCACAAGCTACTGCAGACATGAAACAGCAAAACTTGGAGGCTGGGTAGGAGTATTTATCCACTACTAATGCTAGTCCTGTCTATGTACACTTGGGGGGGGGGCCTCCTCTGAAAAGTAACGGTGTATTACCGGATAATTTTATTGCTGTAGCCATCAAATGGATTGTTAGGATGTCACAAAGTATTCATAAACTGAACTACCCAGGGGAAAACTGACAGCACCAGAATCCAGCCAAATGTGCAGGATCCGTAATACCCTGTTTCCCCGAAAATAAGACCTACCCAAAAAAAAAGCCCTAGCAGGATTTCTATGCATTTGTGGTATAAGCCCTAGTGTGTCTTCTTGAGAAAAAATAAATATAAGACAGGTCTACAAGTAGGAACGGTGTGTCAATGGGAAGCAGGTGGTAGAGAACAGAGAAATAACAACAACAGTTTTAAAACACCAGGGGAATCTGGATGGGATGGCAGAGGAAAGAGATGCCAGAAAAAGAGAAAAAAGGAAAGGAAGAGTCACAGAGTAAAAAAAAAAAAGAATGGATGAAGGAAAACACCACACAGAGCCTTAAAACAAGAGACTGGAGTCCGGCAGAAGGCAGTGATGCCAAAAACTGGGGCTAAGGAGAGAAGGGGCAGCATTGAGAACAAGTATGTACGTGGTGGTGGTGGGTGATTTTCAAATACTAGTTAGAACAACTCAGAACACTAATAAAGTTGCTTCTTTCAAAATTCTTTCTGGGTTTGTTTTTCTGATTACTTGGATCCATTGGTTTATCAGTCGCCAGCCAGAGGTCACTGACAGCAGACCCAGGAAGATTTCACCTTAGAATCAAGTGAAACTAGATGGGGTGGCTGCGCACTCAACTTTGGGCCTATTCGCACCTGTGGGACCAACTCTCTCTCCCAGAAGCAAGAGGAAAGATGCTGAACTCAGGAAAGTCTCTGTGTTTGGCAGCCATACCTAGGGACAACAGCTGATCGATGCCTCGAAGGACCCGCACGCATTCTTCGTCTCGAGAATGGGCCCCCCACTCGCCTTCCTGGGGCCTGTACAGCAGAGAGGCCAGCTCCTCCGTCGTCACGGGGACTCCGGCTCCGACCTCCTCTGGATAAGCGGCTGCAGACAAGGAGGGGGGAGGAGAGGGAGAAGAGCCCACATTTACAGCCAGGCCGCCACTGTTGAGCTGCAGTACAGATGACAGACACCCCAAAATGGGGAGGGGGGGAGGCATGCTTACTTCCTTCTGGAATCGGCTCCATATCCCAGGGGCTCATTTTTTCTCTTTCATTGTTGTCCCAGCTGTTAACACAAGAAGCATTTAAAAATGTAAACAGATCAGTGGCTAACAGACCGAGATATTAAACAGAAAGTCCTAGTTTCACCTCTAGCTACGGCCACCGCTAGAGATTTGGAGGGCAGTGCCTGGGAAGGGCAGGCCATGAGGCAGGCAAGGCCAGAGATTCTGCCTTCTGAAGCTACTACTGCCTCCAGAGGAACTTTTTGTTTTTTCAGTGTGGACGTCGGAATTAATTTCAGGAGATAACCTTAAGGCAACATCTGGAGGTTGGTATCCCTACCTCTGCCGTGAACTCATGAGAAGACCTTAAGACAGGCCACTCCCTCTCAACCTCACACAACCACCTTCCCTTCTGCAATATGATTATACCACCTTCCAGGGCTTTTGTACGGACTACTGAAATTAGCTACATGGAGATATGAAGCTGTTATAGATGGTTTGGCCCAACTCTCCCACCACTGTCAACACCAACTGGCTTGCTGTCTCCAAGGCCCCAGGCAAGGGCTGGTTCTGGCACCCCAAGCAAGGTGCCTCCTTCCTGTGCTGCTGGTACCAAGATACCAGAGTAGACCCTTGGGCAGCATCGAAGGTAGCAGTGGGGTAGGCAATGCTGCAGGTCCCGGTACTGAAGGGACAGGAGGCAAGAAATTCAGGTTTCGTGGACATTTGTGGTACAATGTGGGGTGTGAAGTTTCTTGAAGTTCCCTCCAAGAACTGGAGTTCACATGTTACCAAGCCAAAAGTGCTGCCGGGGGGGGGGGGGGGGAAAAGTTTTAAGGCTGTATTTTCTTCACAGTACAATCCTGAATGCCGTAAATGGCTACTTAAAAACTGTCCACAGGAGCCCCGCAACTATGTGAGGAACCAGCCTTCCGCCCTATTCAGGATGGGTAGCCTGGTGATAGTCTGTCTGCAGCAGCAGAAAAGAGCAAGTGTCCTGTAGCACCTTTGAGACTAACAAAATTTGTGGCAGGGGAGGAGCTTTCATGAATCACTGCTGAAGAATCTGAAGCAGTATCTGAAGAAGTGAGCCGTGACTCATGAAAGCTCCTCCCCTGCCACAAACTTTTGTTAGTCTTGAAGGTGCTACGGGACTCTTGCTCTTTTCTACTGTAATAGTCAGCAAAATGATCAGATTTTGTAATGTTTCCACTTTACCACATTTCTGACACAGCATTGCTATTATTAGCCCTCTGCTATAATTGTGCTGTTATGCTGGTTTTAATGTAGTTGGGGCGGGGGCGACAGAAGACACTCTGTCAATCATTTGACAGAAAGCCCAGATATAAATATTTCTGATAAACAGCACCATGCTCCTACCGGTGAGCAGAAGAAGCAGGATGATGCAAATCAAGAGTGCTTAAGTCACACACTGAGACAGTGTGCCTTGCTTAGATTAACCCTTACTGAACACTGTAGCACTGGAAGGAACTGTCAGGATATTCCGGCTGGAATGGCTGCTGGCTCTCCACTGTTCCAAACCACCACGCATCATCTATTATGCTGCGAAATCTATCACCTGTAATGGAGAAGCTGAGATAAGCCAAGGCTTGTGTGCACAGAAAAGCATTTTAAAAAAAAACAACAACCCAATTTCTTTTCTCCACAGACCTTCGAGAAGTGGCATACGAAATTCAACAGCAAACCATCGCTTACCAATCTGCCAGTTCCTTTCTTTGGCTTCATTGTAAAACTGATGCAACACAAGGAAATCAATAACATCTGGCATATCATGGTACCTGTGAAACACACATGAAGTGACTTCAGAAGGTAGTACAGACACAGGTCTCCAATGATGCTGGAGGAACTATAATCAATAATGAAATTGGACTACTAACTTGGGGCCTAATCTCAGAGGCCTCCAATTAGTACTGCAAGTTCATTATAGGAACGGTGAGCTTTACACGAAAAAGGAGCTATTAAGACCTTGCAATCTGGAGATATGATTTAGAAGAAGAGAAGAGATTGGATTTATATCCCGCCCTTCACTTGGAGTCTCAGAGTGGCTTACAAACTCCTTTCCCTTCCCCTCCCCATAACAGACACCCTGTGAGGTGGGTGGGGCTGAGAGAACTCTGACACAAACTGCTCTGTCAAGAACAGCTGTGCCAGAGCTTGTGACTGACCCAAGGTCACATCAGCAGGTGCAAGTGGAGGAGTGGGGAATCAAACCCGGTTCTCCCAGATTAGAGTCCGCACACTTAACCACTACACCAAACTGGCTCTCTAAAACTAAAACTAAGGGATTATGTACCTGCTCCAGACCCACATTCCTCCTGCCTTCGGTCTCTGCCAAAACATTTAGGAAAAGAAACACGTGACATGAGGTCATTGTGTTCAGCATTTCTCTGCCAGTTCACTGGCTGTCTGCGTAGGTGGGCAGGAAACATTGGCTGTGGTGACTTCGCATCACACAAGTCTGTATCTGAACGTCTCAGGGAAGAAGCCAGTTAGCTGCGTTCGCGTGCCTCCTGTGTCATTTTGATCTGGGTGTTAGGGAGCCACTTACTTAATGGAAAAGGATTCACCAGTCATTTTGCCCGAGACGGGATCCAGAAAAGCAAGCTTCAAGCAACAAAGGGTTGGTGGTCCAACTTCGTACTTAATTCCCACAATCTTCACAAATTCTTGTTCCTTTTCATCAAACAGCAGCCAGGGGGTCAAAAAAATGTGTTTTTAAAAAATTTGAATTGCAAAAAGAAAAAGGGAAAAAAAGGAAAAGAAATTGTTATATAGGATTACTCCTTCCACGCAGAAATACAAATGTACAAAAATAACCTCTGAATAAACAGAGGGGGATGCTTCACCAGAGTGAAGTCGGGTATGAAGTAAAACAGAATGGATGAAGGAAGCATTTCTTTGTCCAACTGTAGAAATGGTTTTCTCGTTGGGCCAACTGCCCTAAGCAACAGGGAAGAGACAGGTACCCACTTGATGGGAACTCTCAGATAACCCTAATGCCACTTGTAGAATGCAGCAACTTGCAGGGCTCTTTTTGTAGCAGGAACTCCTTTGCATATTAGGCCACACACCCCTAATGTAGCCAATCCTCCAAGCGCTTACAGAGCTCTTCTTACAGGGGCTACTGTAAGCTCTTGGAGGACTGGCTACATTAGGGGTGTGTCACTTAATATGCAAATGAGTTCCTGCTACAAAAAGAACCCTGGGCCAGCAAGTAAACACTGCCTACTTACGCCCATTGCCTCTCGGTTAGCTACGAGTCCCCACCACCACCTGCACACAGCTTGAAGGAGTCTCTAGGCTGAGGACCTGACTGGGTGATTCAGACAGAGACATCGTAACAGGGACTTTGACTTACTGGTGAATGCAGGTGGGAGGACAGCAAGGCCAGACTGGGTCATAAAATGTCACCACGACAGGTATATGGGAGGGGCTGTGGCTCAGTGGTAGAGCACCTGCTCGGCATGCAGAAAGTCGCCCCAGGTTCAATCCCCTGCATCTCCAGTTAAGGAACAGGCAGCAGGTGATCGAAAGAAGAAGAAGGAGAAGAGTTTGGATTTATACCCTGCCCCTCACTTGGAGTCTCAGAGCAGCTTACAAACTCCTTTCCTTTCCCCTCCCCACAACAGACACCCTGTGAGGTGGGTGGGGCTAAGAGAGCTCTGACACAAACTGCTCTTTTTCAAGGACAGCTGTGCCAGAGCTTGTGACTGACCCAAGGTCACATCAGCAGGTGCAAGTGGAGGAGTGGGGAATCAAACCCGGGTCTCCCAGATTAGAGTCCGCACACTTAACCACTACACCAAACTGGCTCTCGAAAGACATTGCCTGAGACCCTGGAGAACCACTGCAAGTCTGAGTAGACAAGACTGACTTTGGTGGACCAAGGGTGTGATTCAGTATAAGGGAGTTTCATGATATTATGGTCAGTGGAATGTAGAGAACACTTTAACTGGAGAAACAACCTTCAAATCCTGGCTTGCTGGAGGGGGACGGGGAACCTGGCCAATCGCTCCCCGTGTCGGCCTAACCCACTTCAAGGGGCTGTTAGGAGAACAGAGGGGGGGAGCAGCTTTGGGCTCCTTATGGGAAGAGCAGGATAAAAATATAATGAAGTTGCCAGTTTTAAAATGAACATGTATGTTCTCAAAACTGTATGTGCAGCCCTGCTTCTATCTACCTCCATCCATATTTATCCACCCTTCCATCCATCCTCATACTTTATGTGAAATAGCAATAAAAGTGACCGGGGTTATGAACGGCAGAGGAGGAGCATGGTCTCATTTTAGCCAAGGAAACACATCCCAGCACCACGTACGGCTCTTGATGAGACTGCCCACCCATCAACACCCCCTGCTCTGCTTTACAGAAGCATCTTACTAAAGTGCACTTTGAACCAATCTGCTCTCCACTTGTGTAAGAATATAAATCTGCAGCCAAAAACGATGGCCACACCAAAACCCGGAATGAACGCTAAGAGGCACAGCCAATAAGAAGATAAGAGATTGGATTTATACCCCGCCCTTCACTACCCAAAGGTGTCTCAGAGCGGCTTACAAACTCCTTCCCCTTCCCCTCCCCACAACAGACACCCTGTGAGGTGGGTGGGGCTGAGAGAACTCTGACACAAACAGCTCTTTTTCGAGAACAGCTGTGCCAGAACTACGGCTTGCCCAAGGTCATCCTGCCAGGTGCAAGTGGAGGAGTGGGGAATCAAACGCAGATTAGAGTCCGCACACTTAACCACTACACCAAGATGCAAAATCTCCAACCTGTTTTGCTCTCATGATCTTTGTCACAAACCAAGAAACAGCAAAGGCAGAGCCCAGAAGGAATAATCATTATGCACCTTTCAACTACCTGTTGCAACCAGTGACTGAAAATGAGGCATAATTCTGCAAGTACGGCTTACCCTGAGTTCCATTTTATTCCATGGCTGCTTTTGCAAGTTAACACTGTAAATCTTTGCCTTCCGTACTGCACGCACGTAAGCTTCGTGCCCTTGTCTGAAATAGATGATCTTAAAGAAAGAAAATGAATTACATCGCTATAGGCACAGTAAGTGCAGCACACCTTTAAAATGCTTTCAATGCTTCAAATGTCAAATTCTGAAAGTAAATGCCCCACCCCCTTTTTAAATTAGTTTAAAAGTGTGGCAGTTCCAGCAGGCGCATCAAAATTGTGCGGGGGGGGGACGGGACATGACACACCTGGGCACTCAGGTAGTGAAGAAGGGAGTGCGTGCACCCAGCCATTTACCCCCAACTCCATTTATTTACTTAGCAGACCGCCAGGCCCCCTCTCTAGAGACAGCTAACAAAGGGAAAGCAGTGGTGACAAAACATGAGTGCTCACAAAAACACCAGCATGCGGACTATAAAACAGTGAGCTAAAAAGGATGAGAGAGACATTCAATTAAGAGAGGAGAAGAGAAGAGATTGGATTTATACTCCGCCCTTCACTACCCAAAGGTGTCTCAGAGTGGCTTACAAACTCCTTTCCCTTCCCCTCCCCACAACAGACACCCTGTGAGGTAGGTGGGGCTGAGAGAGCTCTGGCAGAAACAGCTCTTTTTCAAGGACAGCTCTTGTCAGAACTACAGCTTGCCCAAGGTCATCTAGCCAGGTGCAAGTGGAGGAGCGGGGGAATCAAACCCGGTTCTCCCAGATTAGAGTCTTAACCACTTAACCACTACACCAAACTGGCTCTGGTAAAAACATGTCTTGGCCTGGTGCCTAAATGACAGGAAGGAAGTGCCAAGGAAGCCTCAAGTGAGGGGGGGCATTCCAAAGGCAAGGCACCACCACCGAGAAAGCCCTGTCCCTGGTCATCACCTGCCTCACCATTGCAGGAGATGGCAGAGAGAGCAGGAAGATCTTAACTGGTGGGAGGGATAGTATGGGAGGAGGTGGCCTTCGAGTATCTCAGTCCCAAGAAATATAGGGCCCTAAAGGTCAAAACCAGCACTCTGAATTGTTCTCAGAAAGAGACAAGAAGCTAAAATGCCTGTTTCAGCATGGGGGCAAGCAGGGTCTATGCCACAGATCCCAACAACAGCCTGGCCACCCTCACTCTGAGCCACTTAATGTCTGACAGTTTTCAAAGGCAGCCCCACATAGAGCGTGTTAACGTAGCCTTAGAGCATGGATGTTCATGGCCAAATCACGCTTTCCACAAGACAGCTGTTGCGGGCAAATCTGGCTGAAGCTGAAAAAATGTACTAAAACCTGAGCCTCCAACTGTGAGCTAGGATCTAAGCAGAACCCCAATCCCGAAGCCCGCTCCATCAGAGAGAGTCCAACTCCCTCTGCATGCACAAGCAGTTGCAACAATAAGGATGGGAATTTCTCACAAAGAGTTGACCCGGGTTTCAGAGCATGAGCTGCAACCTGAATGCCCCCAGCCCTAATTTCAAACCAATCATGAGCTTCCTGGGTGTCATCAGGCAAGTCTACTTCCTAGCCTCAGCATAAGAGAGACGGGTATTGCAAAGATTGCTGAAATAATGGGTGTGAAACACTTTTGAACACTACAATGACCTATATAAACACTGCTTATTTATTACTATGTTAGTCTGCACCCTGAACTGCAGCATCACTGCAGATTACTTGGGGGCATAGACAGTATTCCCGCACAAGCAGTCATTCCCAGTCGCTCTGTTTATACATAGAGGTGTAGCCCCTCCCCCCGAGACAAACAGTGACCTTGCTCATGCCACAGCTCCAAGCAGGCATCGGCGCACAATGCCGGGCTCAGGACTGGGGACAACGGCATGATTAAAATGGAACTGTGACTACATGGAAACGTTTTCTGAAAATGCATTCAATATAAGCAGATGGCTTCCTTAGGACACATGGCTTGACATGGGCAAAGAGCACAGATAGGCAGCCATTATCTTCCAGTTTGATTGGGAACTGAATCCAAGGAGCAGGTCACACATTTGGTACAGGCCTTGCGGCATTTGAAAATCCTTACTTAGTTGGAAATATACTTCATGCTCCTGCCCCCATCAGAAATCTGCGTGCGTGAGAGAGCAGACGTGCCAGGCAGAACGGTTTTCCCTGAGATGCTAAGAGAGTCATATACAGGGGTGATATGTTAAGAGAGTCATATACAAAACTCTTTTTGTAGCAGGAGCTCCTTTGCATATTAGGCGACACACCCCTCACGTAGCCAATCCTCCAAGAGCTTACACTAGCCCCTGTAAGAAGAGCTCTGTAAGCTCTTGGAGGATTGGCTACACTGGGGGGTGTGTGTCGCCTAATATGCAAAGGAGCTCCTGCTACAAAAAGAGCCCTGCTTGAAACAGGCGATTCTCCAGAATGCTGTCTGAGGTGGCACAGAATGACCCACGTCTGACTGAGTCGTACTGTGGCACATTTGTAAATACTTAGATACTCTGCCGTGGGACTAGGTCAGTCTCTGCAGTTGAATGAACAAAGCAACAGCTACCTCATCTCCCATTTGTGGGACAAAGGGGGACCGTCGCGGTATGGTGTCCAGGATCCAGTGGGGAGCAAACCATTCCTCTGTGGGCTCTCCGTCCATCGAAAGAAGTCCGCTGGGTTTCTTAAAACAAAACAATGTGTTCTGTGCGTTTATATGTTTTCACTGCATTATTGTATATACACTTTATTTTAAAATATTTTTAAAGCTGAGACACTTTAACATCTGGTGTTTGCTGCCCTGGGGGACCTAGTTTGGGTGAATAGGCAGCACAGAAACATTTTCAACAAAAAAAATGCTTCAGAGTTTAGGTACAAGCAGAATGTGTGAAGAGCTGTTTTACATATATGTACGCCCAAGAAAAATGGCACTGTCATCAATTCAGGAAGGAAGGAAGGAAGGAAGGAAGGAAGGAAGGAAGGAAGGAAGGAAACACTAACCTTCTTCCGTGTCTGTTTGGATTTTTTGCGTTTTTCTTCTTGCCCTTTTGCATCTTTCGCGTTCTCATCTTCAGAGCTGCTACAGATTTTGCGAGAAGCTTGTCTGGTCTGTCTCTTTGGTGGCTGGAGGTTAATCCCAGCATCTGCAGTCCAGTCAGAGTATTCACTGGATGAATCACTGAATAAGACACATTAAAAAGACACTAAGAAACACATAAAATGTGCTTGGGGAAAAGGGTCTCACTGGAACCAACGGCTTACTTTGGAGGAGCTGATTTAGCAAGAAATGTACTCGAATGAAATTCATGTAAAAATAAGTCATAGGTTGCAAATGACAGAGGGGTAGCTGCGCTAGTCTTACTGCAGCAGAAGCAGAAAGGGCTCTTGCGGCACCTTAAAGACCAACAGATTTATTATGGCACAAGCTTATGCAGACCAGAGTCCAGTCTCTGCATTTGATCAAATGGTCCCTCACCCACAAACATTTCTGCCACCTTAAATTAATTGGCCTTTAAGGCATCTTTTTAAAAACTCCAAAACCACCTGCTAAGGCTAACTTTATTTCTACCGGGATTTCGCTATCGTGACGCTACTCCAATGGGAAGGAGAGCCTCTCTCTGGTGTTCATCTGGTTTACACAGTCAGTTTATCCACAGCAGAGTGAAGAAGTGCGACAGGGTTCGGGGGGGGGCTCGCTAGTGTGTAGGAAAAAGAGTCGAGGAAGACTCATCTGCTCCAGCTTAATGCAAAATTGACACTGTTAGGCAGCTGGGCAGCTGTGTTAGTCTGTAACAGCAGAATAAGATTTGAGTCCAGTAGCATCTTAAAGACCAACAACATTTTCCAGGATACAAGCTTATACCCTGGAAAATTTTAAGGTGCCACTAGACTTGAATTTTTTCCCAGTTAAGCTTAGTTAATTCCAGGCAGTGAAATGCTGGGGAGGAGCTGTGGTTCAGGGACAGAGCATCAGCTGTGTGCGCAGAAGGTCCCAGGTTCAATCCTGGGCACCTCCAGTGAAAAGGATCAGGTAATGGGTGATGTGAGAGACCTCCTCCGGAGACCTTTGAAGCCCCACCTGCCAGCCACATCAGACAAGACTGACCTTGACAGACCAAGGGTCTGATTCAGGATAAGGCAGCATCATGTGTTTGTACCTGATGTAGCCCTTCTTCATAGGAGAAAAAAAGGAAGTTGCCTTGAATATATGTTCAGTTTGTCTACAATGCTGTAACGACAGTGAGACTACCTGGAACTGCTTTCGCTTGGCCACGCAGCCACGTTATCATCCACAGATGCTTCAGTTGTGCCACCCGTGTCGTCTTCCTGAGTTAAAGAGGAGGGGAAAGAGAAAGTCTTGTCCATTTGCCCCACTGTTTTGCCATCATCATTTTAAGTAATTTATAAGCCTATGATAGGTTTTGTTGTATTTTACTGTATTTAATTGTATTTTTTAAATTGTTGTAAGCTGCCCTGAGCCCGCCTCGACAGGGAGGACGGGGTATGAATCTAATAAATCATCATCATCATCGCTTTTAATCACAGCACAAAATAGTTCTCCTGCTAGCACTGAACGTTTTTTGCTAAAAAGTATCATGCTGCATTTCCAAAAAAAATAAATAAAAATGATGCGCGTCAAAGAAACAAATTCAATAACTAACTCGGTACCTCTGGTTACAAATGACAAAGTCAGAAACAACCCATTAAAGGAGGCCTAAGGAGTTAATCTGATGCGTAGAGTAAATGCAAAGCACAGCAAGGAGTGCCTCCTTGAAGAGCCAAGTGCTCTTTGAACACCTGAGAGCACGCAGGGTCCAGCAGTGTAAATTCCTATCCTATCCTTCATGTACATCCCCAAGCCCCCCCCCCCTCCAAAATCTTTGGACATCTGCAGAAAATCACATGATACTAAATTGCCACCATCCTAAGTGTTTCTGTATTCATTTTGAGCCCTGAGCCCTGTTGTCAGTGGTTATATCCCGTTGCTGCAGACGGCGGGGCTGCAGCTTGTCATGTCAGATGGGTAAAAGTCCTGCCAAGGACATCCTGTGGCTCAGCCCCTAAGCATGAGTTCTCATCTCCCACTTAAAACTGCATCTGAATTTCTCTGCTGTCTTGTCTCTGCAAGTTGAAGAATGGCCTTACTGCCATGGTCTTCACATCCTATTAAGTCTACCTGATAATGGCTTGGGTTCTAATTACTTACTTAAAACACCATATTAAACGGGGGGGGGGGGGGGGGGGAGACCTTGCTGCTAAAACAGTTTCGAGAACCAATAAACAAAAAACCCCACTGCAGCCTTGAACAGAGATGATATCACAAATAAAAATATTGAGTGCCTAACCTCAGTGGTGCTTTCAGTGTCTTCCTGGGTCTGTGAACTCCCCCTTGTGCCTTGGGAATGATGCTCTATGGTGGAGCGTGTTTGATAAGCATGCTGGCGCTTGCGTTGGTTTCTTCGCAAGGATCGCCCACCACCAGGTTGATGATCGCTCTTTTATCGCATTAGGAAAAAGACAGACACAGAGAGAAAATATTTATTAATTTTACTTATTTTATTCGATTTATACCCCACCCTTCCTACTGATGGGATAACACACCCTGTACCCGACAGATAATCTGAACCAAAGCCTGTGTGAAAGTCTAATATGGGACCTCAGGAGAAGAAGAAGAGATTGGATTTATACCCCGCCCTACACTACCCAAAGGTGTCTCAGAGGGGCTTACAAACTCCTTTCCCTTCCCCTCCCCACAACAGACACCCTGTGAGGTGGGTGGGGCTGAGAGAACTCTTGACAGAAACTGCTCTTTTTCAAGAACAGCTCTTGTCAGAACTATGGCTTGCCCAAGGTCATCCAGCCAGGTGCAAGTGGAGGAGTGGGGAATCAAACCCGGTTCTCCCAGATTACAGTTCGCGCACTTAACCACTACACCAAACTGGAGGAGGAATCACTAGAGGGCTAGCCTACAAGAACTTTCTGGATGGAAGAATTCCCCCCGCGGTGACACATCATAGGTCCAAGTCTATAGGTGAGAGTTAAGTCCAACATGGCGTTTTAAAGGGCTGGGCTGCATGCTAACCTTGCTGTCTTGCCTTACCAGTGAGGCAACCATCTCCCTCCATTTCCGGGGAGTCGTCCAGGGTCTGAGGCTCATCAGTGGGGATCTGACCCAAAGAGGTGAAAGGCACCGAGACAAACTGACACTCCCTGCTGCCTCCACAATTTTCTTTGCAGCTGCTTTGCCCCAGCTATTCTCCAAGGGCTCCACCACCAGCAGATTACCCCCCCCCCTTACGTCCGGCACGGGGCACTTGCGCCACTTCCGGAGTGCTCACATTTATATCCAGGCAATCTGGCTGTGCCACAGGGGCTACCTATTGAGGACCTGTGCTGTGGGACATGACTTCTCTCTTGTAATATGTCCAACCAGCCAGCTTGTTTGGTGAAAGGGATGCATTCATTTTTTACCCCTTGGCTTCTGCATTAATAAATACCAGCAGTTCTTCCCCCATCTCATCCCAAAGAATGTGATAAATTAAGCAAGTTGCAGTAGGAAATTTACATTTTTAAAAGTCTAGAACAAACAAAAACTAAACTGAGGAGCTTACAGAATGCAGGGCAACTTTTTTATCTAGGAAACTTGTCTTTATAGGAGGCAGATTTCCACATTTTCTTTTAGCACGAGGCCCTCCAAATCCGCTCATCTAGCATAAGAACATAAAAGAAGCCAATGATGGATCAGGCCAATGGCCCATCCAGTCCAACACTTTGTCACACAGTGGCCAAAAATACCAGGTGCCCTCAGGAGGCCCACCAGTGGGGCCAGGACACTAGAAGCCCTCCCACTCTGCCCCCCCCCCAGCACCAAGATTACAGAGCATCACTTGTCCCAGACCAAGAGTTACTGTCTATACCTTGTGGCTAATAGCCACTGATGGACCTCTGCTCCATATGCTTATCATATGCATCAGCACATGAGCTCTTGTATGTAGCGTTCCCTCTCTAAAAACCTTTGTGAGTATATCTGTCCCTGTGATTTTCTGGTTTCTTTAAACAGGTGTTTCTGGATGCTCATTGCTAAGTTTTACCGTGAATATGCAGGACTGATAAGCAGGACTGACCAAATCTAAGCCCTTCCTCTTGATACCACTGTCTTATTCATGAGGCAAGACCCCATAATGACTACGCCTGTCTACCTGGCTCTGTGTATGGCATTCATAACATTTCTGAAAATAGGTTGCTTTTCTCACCCTTTGTAGAGTGTGGGAAGGCTTCCTCTTCTTTTCAGATGTGTACAGATGGATTTCTAAATCACCTTTGGCAGCTCGGATTTCTTCCTGAACTCTAAAGGAGAATGAGAATAAATCAAGGTTATTGACTGAATCTTTAAAATACATTCTTCTCAAAGTTCTTGTCTTGATTGTTACGAAAAAAATTTTTTTTTGGGGGGGGGGGGGGGTGGGAATTTTTTACCTATCCATACTCGTGTGCCCAAAGAGCACCGGTACACACTTCAAAGAAGGGATCAGATCTGCACATGCAGAAGAAGATGAAGCGACTATCACTTATGCAGGATAGAGAAATTATTCTAGATAGAAAATGCTTAGTGCACAGATTTTACCCTGAACAAATCAGGGCAACATTGCCTGAAGAGTCATGATCTTTGCATTTTAGTTTTGCACTTAAAGAATAAGCATCTTAACAATGTCATGCCATGTCAAATTGCATTAGAAATTTAGATTTAGAGATAATATTGGACACACAACAAAGACAACATTTCAGAGTTTCAAGGAAGAGGTATATTTTGGGTTTTTTAAAAAACTTGGGGCAGGAAAGGGGGCAGCTTGGGAATCAATGGCTAAGAAACTGCAGGCCCCCAAAAGCACAATGCAAAATAATGCCTTTCAGCAAAAATAGAATCAAAACAAAACCTTAACATCTTTTCAATCTGTTTCAGGAGGAGAGGGGGAAAAACCTTACGGCTTTTAGGAACTCCTAGACAATTTAAGAAGCGATTATCAGAGTGACCAGACCAGCAGTAGCTCTACGATGAGACACTTTGGGGAATGCCCTATGCAAAGGAAAGGCATCAGGAAAAGTAGAAGAGAACTTCTGCCATTTGGGGGCTGCTGGCATCGATCCACTTATGTTCCAGATCCAGCAGAAGTAAGGCAGTGGGGCAGAGGAGCACTGGGGAAGACCCAGTGGGGCTCTGTAAACCCCATGCAGAAAGCCACATCTCTTTATCACTACCTGCATACATCACTTGACATATGTAATTTTTATCTAGGTCATAACAGGAGTTGTCCTTCCTCTGATGGCTGAAAAGTAGTTTTAGGAAACTATAGAAAATAGTTACTTGCAGCAGCAAAAATTCACTTGACGGATGCATAAGACAGTTTGATTGGTGTTTTATAAGCTGTTTTGCATGTGAAAAGAAAAAAGGTTAGTAAAGGAAGTACAAAATAGTTCTTAAGATCTTTGGTTAGTGAGAACAGGGCTAAGCAATGGAAAACTGATCCCTGTGCCCAATAGTCCACCAAGACTTTTTTTTGCCAGCTGACAAAGACACACCATGTGTTTATCAGAGAACCAGTCCCTTTGGAAGAGAGGCTTTTCCAGACAAAGACTGGAACGGGCCATAGAGAACATTGAGACTGTGGTCCTTTTTCACCTATCACCAGATTACGTGCTCTGCCAGACTGGTTTCATATCTCGTTTCCAAGATTTAAAATATTTCTATGTTGCTGTTCAAAATCTCAGTGATCCACCCCAATCCATAAAACATCCCAATAAAACAATCAACAGGCAAGCAACAAGAACATCAATAGCGGAAAGATACAAGCCAGTCAAAGAATCTAAATCTCAATTGAAAAAAGAAATAGCACTGGATCCCTTACAGAAAGTTAAAGAGTTGTAGCTTTCTGTGTAAGTCTTTCGAGAGATTATTCCTGCGTGCGGGAGGTCAGGATGATGGCAGTCACACTCACAAAGCAACCCATCTTCAGTGGACCCATGCGGGTGACACCACAAACCAAGGGCACCAGCTGCAATATTCTCTTACCTGCTGATTCCAGGATGCAGCTCATTCACCACCACTCTCCTGCTCCATGCCATGAGATCTCTCTCAGTGGCCATCTGACTTCTTGGGGCATTGTGGTGCATCTGCCTGACGCCTTCAATCTGGCCGCTCCGTCTAAGCCCAACATTTGGTGGGGAAGCAAGATCCAAGCTCGGACTTCTCAAAACTAATGGGGGGGGGGGGAGCCCAAGTGACAACAAAATTATGTCAACTTTTGACCAAATTTTCTAAACAAGTTACAATCTGTGACTTCCTACAAGAAAGTGAGGAGACGAGCCTTACCACTAACAGACGGGGATCTGCTTGGTGGAGGATTTGAAGGAGCTTCACTGTCATTGACCCTTCTCATATCTTGTTCTCGTTGCAACTCTCTGATCATCCCGTCGAGAATACTCTCCTCCTGGTCGTTGGTTTGCTGCCCAATCACTTGCTCCACCACCTCTCCGTCACCTTTGCAAGAGCAAAAGGATCAAGTGAACAATTTGAGCTGTACCAGCAACCCAAGTCCTATCACAGCCAGGCCCGTAGTGGGACATTTCAGGGCCTGGCCCCCTGACTTCCTGCCAAGGCCTCCTGACTTCCATGCATCCCCCAGGCCCCCCAACTCTCTCGGCCACCGGGAGGACTCCCCACCGCCGCCCCTTCCCCAACTAAATCATGCCAAAGCCTTTGGCAAAAGACGTACCGTTCGCAACATATCCCAGCTGAGGAATGAGCTGTTCGTCTTTGCAGTTTTCCCTCCCTGGTACGAGCCTTTGGTATCTTGTGGGGTGGGGATTGCCATCCACATCGACCAGGAAGGGGGGAGGCATGAGATGTGGGGCTTGCTGAGTTTGTTCATCCAGCACGTAGTTGTTCACGTCACGGATCAGGGGGCGAAAATCAGTGTGGAAGAACATCTGATCTGGGATCTGTATGAGAGAAACTCAGAAATCAGGAACACTGTCACGCTGCTTAATTCGGCTCATACAGTTTCTACTACCAAAGATAGTGCTTGGCCCCATAAAGGCAGTTTTCTCCCAAATTGACAAGTTTCACCTCAGTCAACTGTTCCCTCTTGAAAGAATGTCAAATTCTTTGCCCTTATAGAGCAGACACAAAGAACAAATGCAGGCTTGATTCTTTGCCCTTATAGAGCAGACACAAAGGACAAATCCAGGCTTGATTCATCCTCATTTGTAGTGACTCCACTTGGCAGAGACATGCAGACAAAGGTGAAGCAAGCCTCCATGTATTCTATGTGACTGAGCTCCAGGGGCACAGAATTCAGCATCCAAGAGAGCAAGCATTCTTCTACTTTTTAAAAGAGAAGTCAGCTAATTTTTCAGAAGCTGCAGAAGTGAGTCAAGGTTCTAAAGCAAAGCAAATGTCTAGTTCCCTTCTTTAGCAGCGAGAATTCAATACATTTATTTTTTACAAGACATTCTTTGTGAACTAGAGTAGCTTCCAACTCAAGAGGTTCCGGTTTGGACCTATGAATGACCTTTAACAGAGCACCTCTCCCTCCCACACACCCCACCCAGATTCTAAGAACAGAAAATTTCCCCAATAGAAAGATCTGCTACTGCATGGCCTTAAAATATCTGAACTAATGAAGCATACTGATCATGAATATAGGTTTCAGCCCGAACTTGGCTTTCTTTAGGGTACTGATTATGTACAGTGTAACTGTGACAGTATTAATTGTAATTGTGACTTTATTACGATGACTGTCCAAGGCAAGGGTTCCCAACCTTTTTGGTATTGGTGACTCACGAGTCCAACTTAACTTGGTATGGTGGCCCACTTAAGGAAAACAGAACATGCAGTAAAACTGCAGAGGCCTGGGACCCAGGTTCACAGGCTTCGTGACCCAGTTTGGGGTTGGGACCCACCAGCTGGGAAAGGTCAGTCTAAGAAAATCTGAAACTCAGAACCAGGTGTTTTTTTAGTGTACTGTGTATGATTTGAAAGTACATTCTTGCATGCTGGGCATGCATGCAAGTCTGTGTGTGCACATGACAGGGCTTTCAGGAGTGGGGCTATTATATAAGGGAAGGGGCTGTGGCTCCATGGTAGAGCATCTGCTTTGCATGCGGAAGGTCCCGGGTTCAGTCCCTGGTGGCATCTCCAGTAAAAAGGATCAGGTAGCAGACGAGGTGAAAGACCTCAGCGTGAAACTGAGACGCCAGAGAGCTGCTGCCAGTCTGAGCAGACAATACTGACCTTGATGGACCGAGGGTTTGATTCCATATAAGGCAGCTTCATGTATTCATGTCTGTACTTACTTGCTCTTTACACCATCTTTAACAAAGAGCTCTATTTTACTCTAAACATTTACTTTATTCTTTTATTATTGAGGATTTAGGCCCTCCAGTATGATCAGTCCTTAAAGTTCATGGAGCAGGGATGCTCCAGAGCCAGCTATTTGAAGAGTATCAGTTAAGACTATCTGCTGCTAAAATCTCAGCGAAAGTAAAAACATACTGTGTAAACTCATTTTCGGTGCAAGTCCTTTTCACAAAAGAAAAAGCTACGAGTCTGCCAAACCCACCTTTTCGTAAAATCTATTGCAACCAAAACCAAATAGCAGCAGGTGCCCATGTGAGTCTGTGCAGGCAAAATGCTGCCCATCGGGGGAGAATTTGCAGTCAAATACTGCACCGTGACCTTGGCCTTCAATCTGAAACAAACACAACACAACGTATGAACTTATTTCTCTGGATAAGCCCCTCTACTAAAATTTCTTCTGTTCCCTCTTATTGTTTCCAGAGCATGTCTGGTCTCCTAACTTGGTATTTTCATTTAGCTATATTATAACAATGTGTGCTCGCACACAAATGAAGTCAGCTGCAGCTGCCTCCTGGGAAAGCAAGATCCCTTAACAATCCTGTGGGCAGGCTGGACTTTCAGTTAGATATCCCCCCGTTAATTCAGTCTGCGTGCACATGCCTCCATAATCAGAAAATTAAGTCTTTTCAAAACTAAGCAAAACAACTTCTCCAGTGCAATGAAGAATTCCACAAGGCAGGGCTTCGAAAGTAAGAGAGCAGAAAGATACGTTGCAATGCACCTACCTCTCTGCTCCATTGTTCTTCCTACCGCTACTTGCCCACTCACCGAGCGATCCTAAATGAAGTTACACCCTTCTGAGCCCACCACATTGTCAAATGTTCAACTGATTCTACCATGGAACTGTCCTATATCTTTAAAGCTAAGACATACAGCAAAGATAGGCTGCTCATTTCCAAAAGAGGAACCAGAAGCACTAGAGTGTGTAGTGCTAGGCGCATACTTTTTTAGGTCTTAAAAGCTAGAGCCAGAGGTGCTGTAGTGACATGCAATGCACCACTAGGTCTGCTGACTTCAGACCATTGCAGCTGGCCTTGGACAAGCAGATAAGCAGAAGATGGCATCTCTGACAGTAAGATTCTGAACAGACTCCTTATTGCTCCAGAGCCTGCTTGAGCACAAAAACAGGGCCTGCATTATTACCATGTTGAAGTAATTGCGAATTTTTGTTCCTTTTTCGAGGTCCCAAATGAAAATGTTCCCGTCATGGCCTGCAGAGAGCATGATCCTTTGGTCAAATGGGTGAGCTTCCAAAACGAACACTTCGTCGTCGTGGCCCTGCGATAAAAGCAGAAGAATGTTATGTTTCCTACAGCCACAGGTGAAGCAGCTCTTCAGACTTCCATGCAGAAAAGGTCTTTCTTGATACCTGGCATCTAAGAGGCTTTACCGGGAGACCTGCTACATGAAAATCTGTCATCTACCACTGAGACACAAGTGCTCTACTATGGGCACTGAGACGTCCATTAAAAGCCTTTCCTTACTGTTAGGCACCATGCTTGAAACATTAAAGAAACTGAATGAAAATATGATGCTGCTCTATGCAGAATCACAACACCACTCTATCGAGCTCAGTAATGTCAAATGATATCAGCTTTCCAAGGTCTCTGTTAGAAAATTCTCATCCCGATTAAATGCTGCAGTAATTGTTTTTAATTGGAGAGGCTAGGAACTAATCCCAGGATCTTCTGCAAGTATTAGCTTTGATCCAGTACTTGCCTTCTGCTTGCAGGAGAAAGCAACTGTTGCTGAGGAATATACTCTGCTGCCAAGAACCATGCTGTGCAAGCAGAAGGAAAAAGTGTAGGGGCCAAGTCTCATACTGTACCGCTGAGCCACAGCTGACCCCCCCCCTTCTTCCAAGGGTGAACCTTCCCTAGAAAGAAAGCTCTGTTGCAGCCTGAAGTTGACTAACCAAAACTTGGATAAATCCAAATGAGTTTTCTTTATGCAGTGACATTTAGAAAGAGTAATATAAAGGAAAGACACATCTGCCAACACTGACAAAACACACTAATGAATCAAACATTTAATCTACATGCATTTTTCCCACTTCAGACAGACACAAAATAGCACACAGATGAAAATCTGATGTCTATAAAATATTATCAAAGTTAAGCAGACTGGCATGCATCCAGGTTTCTACATACAAGAGAACTATCTTAAATGGTTATGGGACAATTGGTTTAGTCAAGGAACCCACCACCCTTTCAGGGAACACTCTTTATCAAAGATAGCAAATATTTTTTCACTGTTTGCATAGAAGGAGGTCTCCTTCCCATTTTTGTTTGTTTATTTCCTGAGAACTGGTCCAGCTTCTCTGGGTTCATACTGGGTTCCTAAATGCAGATGGTCAAAGCATTCAGAATTTCTTTTTTCAAGATTTCAAGAAAACAGAGGCCTAGAAGGATGAGAAGATCAGGGAGAGGAAATTGTGGAAGACCCCAGATGCCCTGAACTGCACCTGCTTCACTGCAAAGTAGGGATGTGCAACTAAAAAAAAACATTCATTTTGTTCTGCTCTAGATAGCGGTATTCCTGGTTTCCAAATTCCAACTCAAGAATCTAACACAATGTAAAACTCAATAATCACTAAAACCCAAGCATCACCAGAAATGTCAAAACCAAGAATCCACCTCAAAAAGCAAACAAGACAGGAAGCAACTCGAGCAAATACCAGTTTGGTATTTGGATCTGGTTTTGGGGGGGATTGGATTCCAATATTTTTGTGCACCATCATTCCCTATGAGGACTCTTTTGGGAGCGGCTGGAGAGGCTGTTTTTAAGGCTACTGGCACCAAAATTACAGCAGAGCTGCTGATGTCTGTCTTTTAAATAACTCCCACATTTCAAGTGAATTGGACTAACTCTATGGAACTCTGAACAAAGTGCCCCCCAGTCAGTGTTCCCTCTAAGCTGATTTAGTGTGAGCTAGCTCACAGTTTTGTAGCCTCCGGCTCACCCATTTTTGTCTTGGCTCAGGAAGGATGGCTCCAGAGCAAAGTAATTTATGCAGTAGCCAAATCGCTCTCTCTCAACTTTAATGCCAGTAGCTCACAAAGTAGAATTTTTGCTTACAAGACTCCACAGCTTAGAGGGAGCATTGCCCCCAGTCAATCTCCATTGATCCCTATGGGGGGGAAAGTGTTAAAAAGAGTAAACCCGAGAATCACCTCTAATGTACAACCCAAGAATTGCCCAAGCCAAACCAAACTATTGCAAGTCTAGGAAATTTAAAATCAGAGAATCCAACCAATGTAGAGCCATAACAATATATAGCATTGTAAAAACCTGAGAATCACCACCAATGTAAAACCCAAGAATCAGTGTTGTTGTTGTACAACCTGAGCATCACCACCAATGACAAAACCAAGAATCCACCTCACAAAGCAAACCTGACTGGAAGCAACTGGAGCAAAGAACACAGCTTTGCAAAAGTCAACAACACTAGTATATTTCCAAGCTGTATCCAAGAGCATAATCAAAATTTTCTGCTTATTGACTATTTCTATATATTTGTTTTTCTATATCCAAGTACACATCCCTACTGAGTAGCAACCTTTCCTCCCCCCCTAATCTTCATCCTTGGGCTAACCTGGTACCACTGGTTTATTTCCAAGCTGTATTCCAAGAGCACAATCAAAATGTTCTGCTTATTGACTATTTCTAATCGATAAATACATCTGTTTTGAAGTACATATCTCTATAATAAACAAAGTACAATAAACTCAAGGCCAGACACCTTGTTGAGGGTTGTACAAGACACTGTTCTAAATACAACCTTATACTCCCTTGGCATTCCTCTTCAAAATCATCAATTTCCAATTCTACTTACAGATAAGGTATGAAGAAGCTGCCCTGTAGAAGAATTCCATACTTTCAAGAGGAAGTTGTTGACTGCTGTGATAACAGTGGTATCATATCGATCCCAAGCTACCATGGTCACCTTCAGCTTAGACACCTTGTCTTCCCCAGATGTGACACTATTCCTGAACAATTAAACAAATTAAAAATGTAGAAAAGAAACTTACAAGTACCAACACAATTTTAGATTAATTGCATCTGCTTTTCACAGAAATCCTTTTATGGAGAAAAAAACAGGTTATGTTGGAACGGTCTCTAAGTTACATGAGACACAGTAAAAATAACTGCTGAACTGTATTCTGTTGAACTTGGAAACCACATTGTATTTTTCATGTAGCATATTGGCTGGAGCACTTCTACAGCTGCAGAGCAATCAGATAAATAAAGTTCAAGTAATACAAGCAACAGTAAGAAATGCACTTGCTGATTTAGAAAGAACAGAAAATCCAGTCATGTTCTTCTTCCCTAATTTTTCTAGACAAGCGTGAGTTGAAAAAGCCAATAATCTGAGCAAAATGCAGAAGGCAGACTCCCAAGGAATTAGACCTTGAGAGGAAACAAGAAACTTCACAGAAGCCACTTATAAAAACAGTCCAAGATGACCTGGAAAAACTTGTCCTCTAAAATCGTTCTTGGCAATGGCCTGAATTTTCGTTTCTCATGTAGCAGGACAAGAAGATTTCCTTTGGGGAAATTTTCCTATCTGACGATGTTACAAGAGCTCCCTCTAGAGCAATTTAGCTTGAAAATGCAACTCAAGGACATCAGATCTCAGAAGCCAAGCAGGATGGGAGACCGCCAAAGAATACCACAGCTGGGAGGCAGAGGCAGGCTATCAAGCCACTTCTCTGAATGTCCTCCATGCCCCAGTAGTTGCTGCCAGAGGTCGCTATGATTTCCAGGCATGGGTGTGTGCATGCACACACACACAAAAATGCAAATATACCAAAAAAAGAAGAAGAAAATGCAACTCAAACATATGTGAGATGGGTAACTGAGCAACTTGTATATTCTGAGGGAGAAAACCCACTATGCATCTGCACTCACCCCCTTTTAGACTGATAGAGAAGCAAGCTGAGGAGCAAACCTGTGCAAACCAAGCACCAACTGGCTTCCTGTTGTGGCAATCATGAACCCCTTCCCTACAGGAATGCAGGTGCCAAACAGTATACAGCTTGCTGTAGCTTCACAGACTGTATCCTCTGTATGCAACATGATGATGTAAGCCAATCAGAAGGGTGGAGCTTTATGTCAAAGAGCATGGTCCTACCAATGCTTCCATGGGATGCATGCAACAGGATTTCCCCCCAGAAACCTCAGAAGTCATGTAAAAGCCACAATGTCTGAGCAATTTGTGGGATGGGAGGAAAGAATTGCTGGGACTGATAGGAAATGTCGGGTCACACGCATTCACAGACCGTGAACCAGATAACTTGTTCAGAAAATGTGTTTGTATTTCTTCGACTGTAAGGTGTTCAAATTACAAATGTTTTTGTGCCTTTTACCCAGTCATCTTGGTAGCCATATCCAACACTATATTCTTCCATTCCTGATTGGTATTGCCATATTCTTGCTGTGCCATCTCTGCTTCCACTGACAAACCGCAGCCTGTAGTAAAAAAAATAAAAATACAAGGAAGTCACACCCACAAGGCTCTCAATCCCATCATCCTCCTGCATTCTGTTTGCCAGGTGGGCCTTAGGAAAGTGTTCTCTGGTGGCAGCCAGGCTTACAGCACCTTCACAGTTCCTGCACAGTAGTATCTTCAACTTTTCATTACAGTGATCTCACTATCGCCTCTAAGTTGGTATACAAATATGAAAATATAAGACAAGTAAGCCAGGCTTGCTTGTACAATTGGCTTGTCCACCACACATGCATGCACATCATCTAATGGGGGAACAGGCTACTTTAGATGTAACAGTACAACCCTCCACATTGACCCAGCAGCAATGCTCTTCAAGGGAGTTAGTTCACACATTCCCCAGACAGTAATCAGGTGTAAAGACTTCCAATAATGTACACCTATGCAAGAATCACCCTTGGGTGTCTGATGGTCTGCAGTTTTAATATATGACTTGTACTAGTGGGATACAAAGGTGAAAGATATTAACACAAGGACTGAGTGTATGGCACAATCCTGACTAAATTTCATGGGTGCAATTCAGATCACGGCACATGTGCCCAAGGCGCACCGTGACTGATGGAGGGAGGTTTGTAGTGTTGGGCAGGAGCACAGCTTGTCTGCCATGTTTGCACACTCCCCATATTCCTCCCACCGCCCTCTGCAAATAAAGCATGACCAAAAGCTTCCAAGCACGATCAAGCTGCAATTCCCTGTGCTGTCCAAATGCAGGCATCTCTGTGAATTGGAGTTTGTTTCCTCTCTTCCCTGCTCAAAACAGGATTAAAACCAAGGCTTAGGATCCTGGCTGGTGGGGAGTAAACAAACTCCAGTTTGCTCTGGCACCTGGAGCTCAATCAGAACTGGAACATTTTGAGTCTTACTCTGAGCATGAAGAGAAATGAGAGGAGTGAGAGGAATACAGGAACAGAGCAAATAGATTGTGCTCCTGCCAGAAATTGACAAACCACTGTTTAATATCAGTTGCTGGTGACATATGAATATAGCCATTGCCAAACAACAATTGATATCCGTGGGTTTTTCCAGGATTGCACCCATGACTTATACAATCATTTCAAGCTCCCATAATGCTTATATGCTCCTTTCATCCTATATTCTCCAAAACAAGAAATCCTGTAATTTTAAGCATAATCTTCGGGGGGGGGGAAATATCACTGAAACAGGAAACGTAACATCATATCTGGTCAGACTCCTACTTAGTGGGGGAACATAAAATGTTTTCCAGGACTTTCAGCAGTGCTTTTGAGTCTCTGTGGCCAGAACACTGTGAGTTTACGATGTTAACGGTCAGATACAGCACAATACAAATAGGCTACAACATTCATTACATCTGTTTAACAGCAATCAGATGGCCATGGCGTGAATTCAATATCGTAGTTCAAACAGCTTTTTTTAAAAAAAAAATTACATCAGCATCTCTCTTGAGAAACATATAATAGAAAAAAGGGGAGAAAAAGAAATAGCTGGATTCTGTTCTCTCGCTCTCTAATCCTGCCTATTGAATTGAGGACACGGCAGCAATTCCTAGGCATTTCTTTAGGCATGGGGCTGTAAAGATGGTGGTTTTGACCCTGTTCTCAGGAGGTCTTTTTCCTATTGTCCAAGCCAAGCCCTCAATGTGGTTATTGGAACAGCTGCTGCAATTGTGCTGTTCCAGCACTGCACGTTGCACAACCCCTGCAAGAGATTTTTTTTTCTTAAAAGAGAAAACATGCAAATCCCATCCATGAAAGCCAAGGGACAGACCAGTCACCCCAACATATGCCCACACATATGGCCACAATGAAAAGGGGAAAAACTCACTTGATGAGAAGACTTCTGTGCTGTCTTTGAAGAACTCCCTCCTGTCCCTCGGAAATTCTGGTTATCTCCACTTGAGGATACCTATGCACCAATGTTCCCGCTAAGCTGTGGAGTCTTGTGAGCAAAAATTCTTCTTTGTGAGCTACTGGCATTCAAGTTGCGAGTGAGCGAATTGGCTACTGTATAAATTAGTTTGCTCTGGAGCCATCCTTCCTGAGCTAAGACAAGAGTGTGTGAGCCAGAGGCTAAAGACTGCGAGCAAGCTCACACTAACTCAGCTTAGAGGGAACACTGCTATGCGCCATTAATCTGACTCTCCTCCACATATCCCTCTTTCCTGGCTCTTTTCAGACTGTAGCCAAGCACACCCATTTCCCCCCACTTTCAAAAAAGTGATCCCTTGACCTACCCCTTCCAAGGGCCATTCAATTTCCCTTCTACCCCTTGCCTTCAAACTCCTCCAACATGCTGATTATGCGATTCCTCTTACTTAATGCCAAATCCACTCTAGCAGGGGGCTTTCACCCCAAACCCCCCCCACACACTTCATTAAAATTGTCCTCCCAAGAACAAGTGGGATTCTTTTCCCTTCCAGATCCAAGATCTCTACCTCATTGTTCTCTCTGCTACCTTTACTAGTGCTAGCCACCCTTCTTTTGCTTACATCAGTCATGCCCTGGTCCTCTACACCTCGGTCCTGAGCTTCTTCTCTTCCTGCTTGCCTTAATGGGTCTTCAATGTTTTTATAAAGGAGCTTTCTCTCCCAGGGATTTGTTCTTTGCTTCTCTGCATGCTGCCGCTGGCTAACCTCATCAAAGGACATGGATTGCAGTACCAGCCCTCTTATGAGGAGGCCCAGCTCTGCCTCTCAACCCCCTGACCATTCTGGAGCACTATCTGCCTAGTCCAGTGATGGCGAACCTTTTAGAGACCGAGTGCCCAAACTGCAACCCAAAACCCACTTATTTATCGCAAAGTGCCAACACGGCAATTTAACCTGAATACCGAGGTTTTAGTTTAGAAAAAACAACTCATACATTAACATAAGATGATCCAAACAAAGTAAGGAAAGCAATCCCAAATGCTTTCATTTACTTAAAATTATTTGGCAGAGAATTCCACACTTTAATGACGGTCTGGGCCTGGCTGGGGCGATGGCACGCGTGCCCACAGAAAGCGCTCGCCGCCTCTGGCACCCGTGCCATAAGTTCGCCACCACTGGCCTAGTCTGATCCTTCAGCTTGGATGTCTCATCTCAAGCTCATTATATCCACAAAAGTAATTCCTAAGGGGGGAATATATCCATGACTGAACTTCTCATTTTTTCTTCCAAGTCTCCCTCCCCTTGCATTTTCTGCCATTTGCCAACATCCTCCCTGTCAATCAGGAACAAAGACTCGACTAGCTCTGTAAGTCATATTCAGTCCATCATCAAATCACATCACTTCTTCCTTTAAAACGATGCAAACATATGACCTTTCCTCTCCATCTCCTCAATGAAAACTCTCAGTCATTTCGCACCATGACTGCAGCAACCTTTTCCTCTCTTGCCTGCCATTATCACACATTAACCCTCTCCAGCCAGGATTCGGCTCCGGAGCTAATGGTGCTCTATACAATACAAGGCAATAAGAAAGGAATGGACAATGAAAGGCAGCTAAAGTATTAGTCGAGGTCAGCTACGCACACTAGCTCGCCACTCCTGAAGGACAGACCCTCTTAAATATAGAGAAAGCTCTGAAAACCCTCCAAGCTGAGCCAAACTGGCAGGAGGGACAGTGTATAAGTCATGGCATTCAGAGAAAAGTTGTTCGCAGCCCCACAGAGGTGCCCATGACAGGTTGGAGGTGATCTAACAGGGACTTGTGGGGAGTGAAAGTTGAACAAGTCATCTGGAGCACTGTTAATGCAGGCAGCACAAAACGAGAGGAAATGTAACTTGAATGCAGAGGCAGCTCCATTCATGTACAGAGAAACAGCCGGACACCGAAAAGCAGGTGCAGACTCAATGCTCTCTAGCGATGCAGCAAATGTGATCATTGCTGCTCTGTAACAAGATGTTTTCATTCAAGACCTCACAACAGGGCAAATGCTTTTTCTACAAAGTAGTAAATAGGAGTGTGTTATTTTTCTTTCTAGTGTGGACTCCTTATTCTGCTGGAACTCAGTGGGGAAACTGCTGTTGATTTCAGTGGGGCAGAGTGTCCTACTTCTACAACTGCAGGACCAGCAATCCACATGGACAGGAATCTGCTACAGGAGATTTTTATTGCTTCAGAATTATCCCCTTCCAGAACATAAGCCTGAAGAACTACAGCAAGGATTTTACAAGATTGCTCTTTAAAATTACTTTCAAGGAGTTTTAAACAATATTATGAAAAACATCACCTCGCTGTTGAAGATGTCTAGAACAGAGGCTTACCTGTCTCCATTGTTGCAGAACTGAACAGCAACTACTTTGTCCTTAAATTAAAAACAAAAAGATTTTTAGTCGATACTTCCCTTTTCCATTTAACTGATTTGCAGTTTTCTCCCCATCCCATGTTAGTCTTAACTGTTCCAAGCCTCTTAGGATCAGGTATCTCAGTGCCTTGCAGAAGGATCACTAGAGAGCCAGGAGTGGATACTGGACAGTATGTAATACAAAGTCAGCTCAGCATTAATTGAACAGGCAGAAGAACATCCCTACCCTGATCAGCCTCCAAGTAACAGCCCCTGTCTTATGTACCTGTTGCTCCATGTGGTCACTGGCACAACAGTCCCACCACCATTTCTTGACATTTCAAAACCATGGAGGAAGGGGAGGGACTGAAATACATTCAATAACTGTTTCCTTATCAGATTTCAACTTGCTTTACTACTTTAACCACATAAAGACATTATGTGTAGCTTAGTTAACACATCAAATTGCAATGCTTAGTATCTGTGAAATTTTTAAAGAGGGGTTTGTCTTACTCAAGCCATAATTACCAATACACCCAGTGTTAATGATAGGACAGCAAGGGCCTTCTACGGTATCTGTCTAGTGCTACCTTAATTTGTGCCAGCTGGGAAAACAGGAAAAAAGTTAAGACTTAAAACGGAAACTGCCAACACTGCAGTAAGGGGGGGGGGAAGGGGGATTATAATCCAGACTCACAGTCAGTCTGCTTTCCATACA